AGGCCGTGTCTCATTTCAGAGACCGCATGATAAACGGCGCATTTCAGGTGTGCGTGGTGTCATCATGCGGCACTAACAGTGTCCCACTTGGCTCTTAATTCTGAGCGCGCTTCAAATGTGGTCAAAACCACACTGCCCCTGCCCCTTTTTCAAGCGTGCATTTATGCACACTTTCGTGGCCTTGGTTTCCCAGAATTCTTTGCATGCCGCTGCACAGTTGCCCATTTCTGGTGAGAGGCCGGACTCGCTTGGAGACACGGCGCGTCTTCAAAGAGAGAAAAAGAAACCCAAAAACAGTAGACTGTCAAACATGATACTCTTTAGTGACGAACTGATCAGCTCTGCTACCACAATCAAAAACATTGGAAATAAGAAAGCTGACAAAACTACATCAGAATATCAGGGCCACATCGAGTTTTTTTTTATTTTTATTTCATTTTTTTTAAAGACTTGGAGATTAAAGTTGTAAACTTGGGAGAATAAAGTTATCAAGTAAATAAAGTCATAAAGCTGCTTTTGTGGAGGGGAAATGACTGAAGCTGGTCTGCAGGGTTATCAGTGGATGTATCAGTGAGTCATTCAGAAAGGTTTTTCATTCAGAAAGGTTTTTCAAGAAACAATCCAGCTGATGATCAACATTTGGGATCCAGAGGGAGTCGAGCTCCGACGAGCACCACGTCTCTGACACCGGCGGTAACCTACACCTGCAGAGACACCAACACCTTATTATGGCATATGGATTCATATCATAAACTAAAGCTCAATGTCATTCACGGCTACTTACAGCTGCATTGACAGATTTATGCGCAGCATATCCATATCTGCCTCCACAAAAGTAGCAATTTTCTCCAGGTCCACCGTTTTTTTTCCCCCGTGGAAAAGACGTATTTCTCATGAAAAAATTTAGTAAAAAAAGTCTTTATACTTATGACAATGTAATGCTGATGTGCCAGAGGATGAAGTATCTCCTTGTTTGTGAAACCTATACTGAAGCACAGTTCCTTTACATGCTTCATGGCCCTAATTTTAACAACTCTCCTTTGAAATAACAGGTTATGACTTTATTCTCATAAATTAACGACTTAAATCTTTAAGTCTTTAAAAAAAATCTCAATATGGCCCTCATACTCCTTCATACAAAACATGCAATCACTAGATGAATTTTGTGGGAATGATCTGTGCTTGTATGTATCTATTGTTTTGTGTCTGTGCAATGTTGCACAATTAAAAAATAATTGCTGCGCTCCACAGCTTTTCATCAAGTCAGTCGCAATGCGAGCCTGAGGGCGGGGACATTTGGGGACTCAACCAGGAAGACCGTCCCAATTCACAAAAACCGGACCATCTCACACAGGGTACTTACGTCCACATAACAGCAGTGCGCTCAGCTAAGAGCGCTTGAGCGCACTCAGCCATATGCTGTCTCTGAAATGGCCCTCATAGTTCTTCATACAAACATGCAATCATGGGGGGAAAATGGACTCTCTCTGGATCACAAATGTTGATCATCAGTTTGATTGTTTCTTGAAAAAACACAAAAGCTTTCTGCTGATACATCCACTGATAACCCTGCAGATGACCAGCTTCAGTCATTTCCCCCTCCACAAAAGCAGCTTTATGACTTTATTTACTTGATAACTTTATTCTCCTGAATTTACAACTTTAATCTCTAAGTCTTAAAAAAAACAAAAAAACTCAATGTTGTCCTGATCCTCTGATGTAGTTGTGTCAGCTTTCTTATTTCTAATGTTTTTGATTGTTGAAGCAGAGCGGATCAGTTCGTCTCTAAATCTATAATGTTTGGTTTACAGATTTTAGTGAGTTAAGAGATCATGCGCTCATGAAGCCTGAGCTGACTCTGCTGTTTTTGGATTTCTTTTATTCTCTTTGAAGATGCGCCGCGTCTCCAAGCGAGTCCGGCCTCTCACCCGAAATGCGCAGCTAGCAGCGGCACACAAAGAATTCTGGGAAACCAAGGCCATGAAAGCATGCTTAAATGCACGCTTGGAAAAAGGGATGGGGGTAGTGTGGTTTAGAGACCGCATATGAAGTGCGCTCATAATTATGAGCCCAGTGGGACACCTTTAGTGCTGCGTGATGACATCACGCACACTTGAAATGCACCGTTCGACGGTGCAGTCTCTGAAAAGAGACACAGCCTTGGTGTCAAGGAGCATCGAAAACTGGTACTGAGGCCACTTTTAAAATGCGAGTTTGGGTTAGGAGGTGAACAGCAGAGTTTTGGGTGTATTGTAGTTTATTGATCATTTTGGAGGGTTAACCAAACAAGATACTACTGCAGTAATTGATTCTGGATGTGATAAAATCACTGAACAGGATGAATATTTGTCTTCAGTGAAGATGGAAGGGAAAAATCTTTTTGAACATGCTCCACACCACAGGATAAACTGGAAAGATCATCTTGATGATCAGGTCATTGCTGACTTACGTGGGGAGGGGGATCAGACCTGAAAATCATGTGCACCACTCTACTATTGCCAGGTGTCTCTCAGAACCCCACCTGAATAACTCAACTTTCCTTATAAGGTGGGAAAATTTAATCCTTGAGGATTTTCAACCACTTATGCAGCCTCTAAGAGATAACTGCTCATGATTTAAAACAATAATGGATTCAACAAACACAGGCCGGAGGTGGGATAAGAATAAAAATAACTTTATTTAATTTTAATGATGGAATCTCATGGAGAGTTTAGAGTCTGTTTTCATCGATAACCAGAGTTTACATTCAGCCCGTCACTGCTGTGATTTTCAAACTGCTTGATTAAAGAAATGCCAGTGTGTAAAATTTACTCACAATAAAAAAAATTTAAAAACCTGAACAAGTGCATAGTGGTCAGATCCATTCTGCATACTCAGCTTTATATGTCTTGGTTGTATTTTAATGAATAGAGGCTTTACTTGAAAGTTTGACATAAGGAGTGTCGCTAAGCCGGGGAATTGCATCGATGTGAAGTGAGTCCTGATTCCAGACCAGTTGTGGGTTGTTTGGTGTTTCAGGTGGACAACTAAGGGGACAATGTCCACTTTCTCTTTTGTCTTGACAGCAATAAAAGCCCCTGGACAAGAGCCAGACGAAAGTTTGTGTTGCTCTTCCTCATGATGGGAACTTTACTGTTCATTTTCTACACTGTCAGCACTCACACATTGTGGTTGTTGACATCCTCAATAACGCGTTTTGGGTCCAGCCAGTCTGACCCCAATGTGACCTCTGTGTTTGGCAAAGTAAGTATTTTTACCAACTTCAGTGTTTTCTCAAAACCAAGAAAGAATGAAAGTGTCTTCTGTTTACACAGTAAACCTGTGCTGCTCCTGTGGACTTTTTCCTCCGTATCTAAAATTTTAAAGAGTCTTTAGAGTCACTCGTCAATAGGAGCACATCATTAGTTCAACCTGCTGCAAAAACAATGAAAATGTGTTTGAGTGAGACAACAGCTATTGAATATATTTAGGATCTTGTATGCCTTTTCTTCAGATAGGATGGTGGAGAGTGTAGGAGTCTGGGAAGGAACCTGGCCTCTTGCTTGAGGGCTACAGCTTCTGCACATGAGGCCCATTTGACCAGTGGTTCCCCAAGGCAGAGTTTCTTATTAGAAGTAGTTTATTGTACAACCTCATTTCCAAAAAAGTTGGGACTCTGCATGAAATGATGATAAAACAGATTGTGTATATATACTCATTTAAAGGTTGATGACGGCAAAAGTCAATGCCATCATTGATTCTGCTTATCGATTCTTTTCTTTAACAATTCCCTTATCAATGCCTTTCTTTAATTTAAAAATAAATAGACTATAGGTTTTCACCTTTAACTCAAAATTTTGTTGAGTCTCTGATGGCATAAAAAGATGTATGCCACCTTCAGTGAGAGTCTAAAAATAATCAAATGACAAACTATTTGTACAGCATTTACTCGGTCGGTATTAAGTCAAATTAGGGTGACCATATCCTGGAACCTCAAAAAGGGGACTCTACTACGCAGGGTGGAGTCGCACACAAAATTTTGAGTTTTTTTAGGTCGGGTCAAGTGTTTTCTATGCTCTTCTGACTCAGCGTGTCCATGCTACACAAACTCAAAACTTCCATACAAAACCTGAGCATTTAAAGGATTTTAGAAACTCCCTCCGGACAGGCCGGACAGCCCCCCATAAAGGAGGACATGTGGGGGTAAAAGAGGACGTAGATAAGTTTAGCATGCATTGTGCTTATGTTTACACAGGACATACATACCTTCCATGCCGTGCTGAGACAGAGCAGCAGCAGCAGATGACGAACGGCGGAGAGCATGGAATACATGTGACTCCTTATATTTAAAGCTGTGCCCTGTTGACAAATATTTAATCATGTTTCTGATGTTTCCACCTTTCCGTGTTATCACTGCTCGACAAAAATTGCAGGTCATGCTTTTGTCATCTTTCTTAGTAAAATGAAGCCACGCTTTAGATCGTTTCTGCCTACTTTTTGTACCGTCTGCCATGTTTTTTTCCTCTGTCTCTGTTCTCGTTCACATAGACTGGCTCTCACGTGAACCCAGAAGAAAGGAATCATTACGGGAATCGTTAAGATAAAATGTAAATGATTTAGAAACCAGTTCTCAACAGGAACTGGTTCTCGATTCCCATCTCTACTCTATGATATGATACTACTAAAATGAAACTAATTTCTAACCCTTCAGCTCTCCTTCAGAAAGTCAGCAGGCTGGTTTAAAGCTGATAGAGGTGTTCAGATGTGTATCTTGTGGTGCATGCAATAAATATGACATTGTTTTATAGGATTGCTTATTCACTGTACATATCAAGAGAATAAGATTAATTAGAAAAGTCATGATGAATGTTTAACTATAACCCTCTAAAACCTTTATGCTCACACAGGTCAGTCCAGCTGACCCCTCACCATCAGAGTACTTTGTGGCATATCCAAACAAGTACCTTTTTCTATTGGATGAACCCAGTAGATGTCGGGAGGAAAATCCATATTTAGTTATCATGATCCCAGTGGCGCCCTCCAACAGAGAGGCCCGTGACATTATCCGCAACACGTGGGGAAATAAGAGCACAGTGCTGGGTCAAAGGATCAGCCATTACTTCCTGCTGGGACTATCTAAAGTGGATAACGGGACAGGAGCTCTTCAAGAGCAGGTGAGTTGACTAACTTTTGCAATGACTGAATCCTGTTCCAGCCTTGTACACCAGCTTGCTGTTGGCTAAATACAAGAAGAGAAAGGAAAGGAAATGATGTCAAGTTAAAGCTGCAAAAAAACAAAATGCACTCTGAAGAACCATCGAAAAATTAAGTGATTATAAAAATACTGTACTGCTGTGGCATTTTGGAATTAAAGCGGCAAACAGTATTGAACAGGCCCTTGTACATCCACACATATCACCTTGTAGCACATGTTGGTGTGTGGAAAATGTTAAAGGGGGGAAAAGTCATAGAGGACTTAAAACAGCTGAAAATGTGTGTTGAGCATAGTGTTCAGTGTTATATGAGCTGATCCCAAAGCCATCCCATATCAGCTGACAGCTCAGCTGATAATTTTCCTGACAAACGTCATTTGAAATGGGTGTTCTTTTTAAAATACTTCTGCCCACCTCCTCTGGCTGCTTCCCTGCAAACCACATCCACCCGTCCACCCCAGCTCCCCCAGTGATGCTATTTCTAATCCACCAGTTTCCTGTGTACTGTTACAGGTATCAGCTCTGTTCTGTACTGGGTTGTACTGGCTTTTCATGCATGCACATAAAACAAAGGAGAGGTGTGCTCTCCCTGCTGCAGTCGTTGGTACTCCACACAAGTTTGTGGAAGAGCAGGGATCTCTCAGGACAGAGCCATAATACCAACTACAACCAATGCATGCAAGCCATTAATTATGAGAATAAAATTGGTCCTGACTGAAGAGTGTTTTCAGTTCACCTGCCCAACATCTCAACTTTCTCAAATACTAATTCATTTGCACTCTGTCCGCAGTCAAATAAAGTACTCTCGGCCATGACGTGTCATGGAGCGTCCTGAAGCTCTTAATGCAGCACAGAGGAGAGAGCATCCAGGAAAGAGGAGGAAACAGAGGAGCCACACAAGATCAGAATCATAAAATAATAATAAATATAAATAAATATAATATATAAAAAATCACTGATGCTGTAGTGAATTTGAAATAATTACAACTGAACACCACTGTGGTTTAAAAACAGACTAAAATCAATCTCAGACTGTGAGGGTCACTCTAAAAGAGATTAAAAGCATAACCATATACTAGTTTTTAAAATGTCACTGTGTGATGAGCTTGGTTTGAAACAGTGTCTGACAGTGACTATTAACCAGAGATTCGGCTCACAGAATGGCAGCATGATAATTCATATCCCTTCTACGGAGGGGCGCTTTAACTAATACGATATTATCATAATGTGTTCAGGTCTTGACCCCTATAACACATAGGGATATGGTTAGATTACAGCTGAGATAAAAACTACTTCCTGTTTCACGGTGAAACACCCATCTTTGTGGGCTCCAACTACCACACCCTTAAATGAAAACTACAACTCATGACAACTTTTCATTGTCCAAGTTTCTTCCAACTAGAAAGACTTTTGAAGTGGATCTGATCTGCTTTGTCAAAGCAGATTATGTGGGACCCTGAACTACTTATTTTTGTCTTTTTTTTTTTTTTTCTAAATTTCATATAGTACTATCTCTGGTGCCCTGTCTACTCAAGGCTCTTTAACATCGCCTGTCACTGTCACCTGTTCACACCACATTCACTTAGTCATGGTAGAGGCTGAAATGTCCAGAGTCCATCAGGTTTTGACTAATCCCATTTACAAACCACTGGGCACAGCCACTGGGAGTCTTCTCTCAGTCTCACTCTGAGGGGCTTGGAGCTCTGTTAGCTTTTTTTTAACCCACCATTGAATCTGACAAATGATCTGATTTTTCACCAGACCTCGTACAACTGCAGAGTTTCATATGTTTTTTTTTTCTTTTCTTTTTTTAGCATGTTAAGGACCTCAAAAACTTAAAAGGAAGCGACAGAATAACTTGAACAAGGATTGTCTTCAGAATTACAAAAAAATGTCCTTTCACCATTTCATTACTCAGGGTCTTCTACTTTGGATTGCCCTCCATGCTGTTACTCAGCCAATCAAGCAGTTCTGCTTTATACATGAATACTTTCACATACTGTGACAACACTTAGACCTGATGATACAAGCGAAAAGGTTGAGTGGATGCTAACCCGCACCTTCCAGGAGCCCAGAGACACTTCTTCTATTGTTCTGTATCCATAAATATAGAAAAAGGCAAATCCGCAAGTTTGTTTTGTTCATGGCTCCAAGGAGCCAAAATACATTTCCTACTTTTCTAAACCTTTTGACTCTTTCTCTCTTTCTTTCTACAGATTTTACAAGAAAGCCAAATAAACCATGATATTCTCCAGAGTGACTTCTTGGACACCTACAAAAACCTCACCATCAAAACCATGATCATGTTTGAGTGGCTTACTTCCCATTGCCCCAACACCTCGTATGCTATGAAGGTTGACTCAGATATATTCCTTAATGTCCACAACCTTGTCAACATGCTTTTGAGAGCCCCTCAAAATCTCTACATGACAGGAGAGGTGGTGAGAAATGCTGCTGTTTCAAGGAATCCTAACTCCAAATGGTATCTGCCTGCTGCAGCCTTTCCCCAGTCCACTTACCCTCCTTATGTCATGGGACTGGGCTATGTGTTCTCACAGGATTTACCAAAGAGGATCCTAGAGGCGTCTGCACATGTTAGAGCTCTTTACATTGAAGATGTTTATGTGGGTCTGTGTCTGAGGCACTTGAGAATATCACTGACAGATCTCCCTCACCATGGTTTGTTCAGGTTGACAGTTCCTCACACCCCAAGTGACTGTTACTGGACCTCTGTTATAACAACAATACTGCAGGACTCCAAACAACTTCTCAGTGTGTGGGATCAATATGAGACACAGATAAGAAGAGGCTGTTTGTCACGACATTTGTAAGACACATAGGTCTTACTACTTTATCTCATGTTTCACACTGTCATTGGTTATATGACTGAAATCCTGACACCATTTGAGCCATCCTGCAGTCCGAGATCCTCAGCTGGCGCCCTGCTAGTCGTTCCAAAGTCAAGGCTCAAATCTAAAGCAGATTGAGCTTTTTAACCTTGACACGACCTCCTGGTGTAGATGTAAGGCATGCAGAATCAGAGACGTCTTTAAATCACTTCTGAAAACAGACTTTTACAGACTTGTTATGTGAATTTACTTTTTAACTTATTTAAAACATATTTAATTAATTTACTTTATTTAAAAAAACTTGTGTTTTAATGATGTGTTTGAAAAGTTTTTTTTTTGTACTCTACTGTCCTGTACTTGATCACACTTATTTAATTTATTTATACTTGACCAAGATACAGTGTGTTGTCTATTTCTGGGCCAAATCTGCTGTCCTTGTTTGATGACATGCTGAGTGATGTATCATTATTCTATCATGTCTGTGACGTTTATTCTTTAACAGCTAATTTCAATCATTAGACTGGTTGCCTCAGCAACAGTTTTAAAATAAAGATTCACTTAAGATGGATTTTCTTTTATCGTTCATTTATTTGCTACTTCAAACAAGAAAGTGCAGTATGTTATAACAAAGGGGGAAACTTACTAATAATTGTGAGTGGAGTGATGTCTGCAGAGCTGCTGCTGAACTGTCCTGTTTAACAACACAGACAGTCTTATACACTGAAGGTGTGCTTTTAGTGTTAAAGATGTTGGTGTTTTAGTTTAACAGAAGAGTGATGGCTCGCTAAACCACCTTTGGTTTTAATGGATGGGTGTAAAACTGTCATTTGTGTCAGGGTGTATGAAACTTTAGGTGTTTCCTCTATGAAGACCGCAGCAGTCAGACTTTTAGGTTTCGCACATATTATGGACAACTTGGCTCTACCCTCCGTCATTATACGAATTTGAAGCCAAAAAGCTCCCTGTGTTTCTGGGATTTCCTCCACTTCCTGGAACCACCACTTGCACAGTAGTGTTGTACGAATTCGGTGGGAGAGTCACTGTGATGACGCTCGGCTCAAACAGCGTATCCCCCAGGTGAGCTACACAATCTTCGTACGCCCATAGGCTGTATCAAGTGTCAATCATAGAAAACATGAACCCCCTAATAACTTTTAAAAATGGAGCTGAGCAGAAAAAAGAGGACTTGAGCACAAACCAGTCTTTCAGTAACTACATGTCAACATCACAACCAGGAGGGAGAAAAGTTTATATTCTGTGTAGTACATTTCTAAAGTTTGTCCTCAGCTTCATAGGGATTGCTGGAGGAGGCAGGATTTATGACCTATACTGCAGCCCGCCACCAGAGGGCGCTGTTCTCGCTGTGGCTTTACCCAGTAAGGAGGCAGACGGGGTCCATTCTATATACAGTCTATGGTTATAAAAAAAAGTATTAAAACCTTCTTTCGGGGGTGAGCCTTGGCTTTTTTGGTCTTGACTGGGAGCAGCCATGTTTTTCTCCTCTTTTGCGTTATTCATGATGATGGAGCGTGGATGTCTTTAAAACTCCATGTCCAAATTGTTGTTACAGAAGATGTTTGTGAAAAGGTTTTGAGATCGTCAGCAGTTCCCGCTCCATCAGTGACAAGAGACAACTAAAAATATTTCTGTTTCTCAGTGTGGTCTCATCTTTTCTTCTGAGGTGACACCAATAAATAACTCACGTCTTGGACTATTAACCACCAGCTGTACTGTTCTGAACTTGTCAGTGACATTTACTTCAAGCTCATTAAGAAATCATAAAAAAACATCTCAGAGACCGTGGTTTTGTGAACTCCTTTTCCTGGCAAGTCTCTGACATAAGGGCAGCATGACAGCCACCTCTGACACCTTTATAGGAGCAACAGCGCCCTCTTGTGGTCCACAGGCGCTTAAACAAAAAGGACTAAGTATGAAAGGGAAGGATACAGGGGTGTTTAATATGCTGGCAGATAGATAAAGCGTGCTGTAACTGTGAAATTTAAATGGCTTACAGTCATAAAATAACTTATTACATGAAGCACAGTTTGATTTTGATATTTTGATTGTAGGGGAAGATCCTCACAGCACATTTTTTCTAGAGAAGTTGATCCAAAAATTTAGAAAAGCTCCATGAGGAGTGGACTGAGGCTGGAGTCAGTGACAGAGACTCAGGACTCTGAGTGGGCCAAGGAAAAAGAGGATGAGGCTATAGCTAAGTGGTCCAAGATCCTCTTCTCAGGTGAACTCTCCCACAGTCTAGGGAGAGTACAGAGGCCCAGAATCCAGTTTCCTCAGTCTGTGATGGTTTGGGTCACCACCTGATGGACTCTGTTCTGCACTGATACAACCATTAGTGGTGCCCACTCAGGTATGTAGCAGGCAGAGACAGGAGGGAGACCTGAGCCACACAGAACATCACTGTTTTACATTCACACCTCTGTCTTCATACATGTGTAGAGTGGTCAGCTTGTAATGTCAGATTTTTACCAGCCCAAAGTGCATGGATCGCTATAACTAACCTGTTAATGTCACCTAAGCTTTTAATCATACCTGTCTGGTTCAGGTCCATTTAGGTCCATTTACATACAGCAAATGTAAATTAGAAGAAGCAATTAAAACAAACATGTAAACATAAAACAAAGAAGCCAAGAAACAAAACCAGAACCTGATTAAAATGCAGGTCTCATGGTTCCACACTTTCTCTATCGTCCTTGACTCTTTATATTCAATGTTTATAACAAGAGCAAATGTTTGGGTAAATGAGATAGACGTGAAAACACAGAAATAAAGGCGGAGAGGGATGAACACAGGGCCTCTATCGGTCTGTAAACCTCTTATTCTGTTTTTTCAGAGTGTCGTCTTGTTTAGGTTGGATACAAGTCCAGAAAAGTGTGTGTGTGTGTGTGTGTGTGTTCAGGCAGCTGACCCTGGTGTGAACAGAGCCACTGTGTGTTACCACAGAGGGACCATTCTTTATTCACAAACACACCCTTACACACACACACACACACACACACACACACACACACACACACACACACACACACACACACACACACACACACAAAACCATCTTTCTCCCCCTGTCTCACTCTTAATTTCTCTGCATTCACTTCCACAGAAAATCGGCAGATATAGAGAGGCTCTTGCTGCCGACCTCTTATTGTCTTTCTCTTATGCTGATGCACAGAACTCCCAGTCTTGCTCTTTCTGTTTCTCCTCCTTCTCCTCCTCACACACACACACACACACACACACACACACACACACACACACACACACACACACACACACACACACACACACACACACACACACACACACACACTAACTGCTGAGCCCCACCACATAATGACCTTTGTTTCACCATGCTGACTGTGACTCAATGGTTCAGTCAGAAGACTGGAATGTGGAGCTCCATCCCGACACTTTTACACTTAAGAACATTTGTATATTATTGAAGCTTAAACCTTTACTTTAAGGAGCTTCTGCTGACATTTTACATTGTGTGAATTTCCATGTTGACGCCAGAACTTCAGTATTACTCACTCTCTCTCATCACTGCCTGTTTTTGTTCTGCTCAGAAATTATAAATTCTTCTCAAAATTGATTGTAATTGTGATATCTGCTTTGTCTTTGCCTCTATGATGGAGAATACAGAGAAAGACCGAGGTTCACTGTACAGAAAGTTGTGAACTGTTAATAAACAGTTATTATCACTTCAGATAGGTAATGTTCACTCAATTGAACACTACCTTCTCAGTCCATCATACTTCAGCTGTAAAAAAGGGGCACCCATCAGAGGTTGGTAATGGCAAGCAAATGTGAGTATGTTTTTATTTTCTTTAAATCCTCATAAAACCCTTGAGATAAAACATGCATCAGGCTGAATAGCTATAACTGTAAGTAGGACTTTAACACAGATGTTCTCAACAGGTAAATCCACAGGTTAGATAACACTCCAAAAACAGTCAGAATGGAGCAAATATGATGTAACGCAACTCAACATAGGATCACAGAGCACTATATCACCTGTATGAAACCAGCAAAGAGAGAAGAGGTCCTCTCAGTCCAGAGAGAGAGGAAACAAACAGAGAGTTTCCCACAGGTGCTTTAAGTAACAAACCTTGTCAGTCATCTTCACTTCCGGGTCAGTCTGGTGTAAGCTGGCCTCCATGGTTAGTTTGGTGCTAGGCAGCTTACAGCAGGGTATCTCAGGAAGACATGTCACAGCAGGTGGAGCTCATTTTAGTTTGCCAAATATTTAAAAAGGTTTTTGGAATAAAATCTTTTCTCTGACTTCTGTACAGTCCTGGAAACTAAGTTATACTTAGTGCCATACTCTGGGTTATACTCAGTGTTTTATTCTTTTTTATACTCAATGTTATACTCTGAGTTATACTCTACTATTGAGTAATACTCTGTTATACTCGGTGTTATACTATTGAGTTATACTCAGTTATACTTTGTTATACTCTGGGTTAGACTTAGTGTTATACTCTTTGTTATATTCTGTTATACTTGGTGTTATACTATTGAGTTAGACTCAGTGTTATACTCTAAGTTATACTCTCTTATACTCTGAGTTATACTCAGTGTAATACTCAAAGTTATACACTGAGCTATACTCTGTTATACTTTGTTATACTCTGTGTTATACTCTTAGATATACTCTCTTATACTCTGAGCTATACTCTGAGTTAGACTCAGTGTTTTACTCTTAGATATACTCTCTTATACTCTGAGCTATACTCTGAGTTAGACTCAGTGTTATACTCTTTGTTATACTTTGCTATACTCAGTCTTATACCCTTGAGCTATACTCAGTGTTATACTCTGAGTTGTACTCTGTTACACTTTGTTATACTCTGAGTTAGGCTCAGTGTTATGCTCTTTGTTATACTCTGCTATACTCAGTGTTGAGTTACTCAGTGTTATACTCTGAGGTATATTATTGTTAATACCACATGGTGTATAAATCAAATTAACATCAGTTTTAATGTGAAGAGAAAGTGTGCAGTGAAAAAAAGTCTACAGCACCTTAAAAGCTCCCCCTAAGCCTAAACTTCATGTTGAAAGTTTGAACATGTAATAAACCTTTCATGAATTTACACTTTGAATTGTATTGTTAATTTCTTATAACTTGTCATCAAGTGTTACCCAGCACTGAGAGTGGCTGAGACGTTTCTTTGCGTGGTGACGGTGAACTCCGCTCCATGTAAACACAGTTTGGACTCAGTCACCTCCTATAGACCTGCAGGTGGACAGATTGTGTTGGTCTGTTTGTGTCAGCATTGTCAGTCAACTGAGAAGGGACGGTAGTGCTGTCAAAGACGCCGATTGATGTTCCTCATCCTGTCCGCTGAGTTTCGCGGATGTCGCTGTAAACAGTACAGAAGCTCTCAGAGAGGTATGATAAGAAAGACGGCACCAACATTTCACAATAAAGCTGGACATGGGGGTTTAGTATGGAAAGAAATAGTATAGTATAGTATATTGAAAAGAAAATAAGCCACAATGTAAGTTACTGATGAAAAAAATAAATAAAAAGAAACGTAAGCCCGCTGCAAATAAAAAAGAAACCGTGCAAAAAAAGTGGTGAAGCAAAAAATAAAACACAACCAAACAAACAAACAACCGCAGTATGGAAAGCTTATAAATGAGTTTAACAGTCTAAGTCTGACATGGTCATTACTTTTTTCCACCACATGTTAATATACTTAATTAAATCCTTTCAGCTATCTGCAACCAAACCAACTACATCTTTGAACGTTATCTGAAGCTCTCTTATTTTGAAAGGTGTGCCCGGAAGTAGTGTGCCTTCTGCTGACTGACTTGATGCTGGCAGCCAAACTTCAGGATGGACCCGAACAGAGGAAAACCCGTTAGTTTGTAGAGCCCAGATTATAACTGTCCATGTCTACTTAATACCAAACAAAGTTCGGGACCGCGATGTCGAGAGAAAACACCACCCGGAGTCTGGACAGTATAGACCTCGCTGCTTTAAGAGTGAGTCTGACTTTGAGTCTTTATGTGAAACTTGGAAAAATGTTGTGGGTGTTGCTGCAGAGTTGTAACGTTAGTTTCAAACAACAAGTTTGCAGAAGAAGTCATGGAGACTTTCTTCTTTTGTGTTTGTCCAGTCAGATCAGGTTTACTGAAGGCCTTTTTGTCAAAGAAAGCTTTTATTCTGCCTGAAACCCCGAAGGCTGCTCAGGCTGCTCCGTGTCCTGTTTGGTTCTCAAACCACAAACAGGATTTCACGAACTTCATGAAAAACTGACATGCAGCCATTCAACAGCTCGAACTTAATAAGAGGACTTCTTTTATTTAGTGATAACACTTTGGAAATGTCATTACAGGACTCTCACGACCTTCGTTACTTGAAGCTATCACAGTCTTAGTTTAGGTGTTTGTCTCCTCTTCTATTATTGCAACACCTGAAAGTCCATTTCTGCAACATCTTGTTTGGAAATTTCATTTGCACATGTAGGACGAAGTGTTCAGCGTTTCTAATGTACCGTTATACTTTATATTTGATCGTGTCAAAACTGCCAGTAAAGCCATGACCCAGTTCCCTCAATAACACAGACTTTGTTTTAAACTCCAGGCCTTATTCTGGTCCCTGGAAACTCACACAGCTGTCCCCATCTACAGTCCATCAGTGCTCATTTCTTGTCCTTAGTACTGAGGTGTTTGATGGAGCTGTCAGAGTTTTTTTACCTGTTGCCTAAAGACTCAGCTGAAGTGTTAGTTTCAGGGTGTTTGTACTGTTTTGTGTTGAATCAGCTGGTGTTTTCCTGTTCACACATACTGTTTCATTTGTCTTTTTCAGGATCCTGCAGGTATCTTTGAGTTGGTGGAAGTGGTCGGCAATGGAACCTATGGTCAGGTGTATAAGGTAGGTCTGCCCATGATGCTTCCTGATCCGTTTGTCACTTTTAGTAGGCACGTCAACTCTGAATGGATACAGGGCTATATGACAGCGAGCTTGATCGTGCAAGCTGTCCGCTTTGTAAATGTTTTGTCAGTTGTTTGAAATTGGCAGCTTTACGCTGCAGAGTCAGTGACATGTCACTTCTGGTAAATGTTACCCAGAGTGACACTTCCCACAGAAGAAAACATCGCTTTTTTCTGCAGCATCTTTTAAAGGGCCTAGGTGGGGCTCACTTCCTTATCACTATATCTGTTTGCTTGCATTTGTAACCACTTTGTGGTTAGGAGGAGGAGGTTGGTCTTATTTTGATCTGTGCTTCTAGGTCTGCCCTTCTATAACACGAACTTTGAGTGACTTTATATGTGGATTTAGTTTCATGAATATGTTGATATTAACAAACTTAACACTATTAGATTACTGAGAATATGTCGTAGAGTAGTTTTTGGAAAGCTAGTACAGTCTTTTGTATGGGCTGTTATGTTTTTGTATAATTTGAGACAAGGGTTAAACTTTCACGGTTGAAGGATTGATGAGGGTTTCCTGAAGAGTGTGTGTGAATTTCAGTGAAACAGAACATGGGTGTGTTCCTCTTTTACCACTCAGCTTCCTTACAAGGGTCATTTAGATTTAGCAAGAGATCCACACGCAAAAGAGACACCACAGTGTATGATGGCACAAAACTGGGGTGTGTTTTACCGGAGGAATTAAAGTGCAAATAACATACCTTAATCTATCACGAACGAACGATAGATAGATAGATAGATAGATAGATAGATAGATAGATAGATAGATAGATAGATAGATAGATAGATAGATAGATAGATCGATAGATAAAATATATTTGTGTTTGTGTGCATTTGCTAGTGTGTTATTGAGCACATGTTTATGAAGATATCTCAAGACCCAAACCAGAACTAGATTAAGTAACTGAATCCTGTTTCTCAAAACCCCTTTTTGAGATCTGATCAAGTCCATTGCTGTAATTTCATGAGATTCCAGCTGAAATCCCAGGCCCTGGTCAGCAGACAGGATATCCTGACATTTGTTCTCATAAGGCAGAGATGGAGAGTTACACGGGGAGTGCGGAGAAAACAATCACAGTGCTTTCACCGAGGATTTCTAAGTATTGGCTCATTTTTGCATGTGAGCCTTTATCATTGTCACCACTTAACTGCAGTGGAAATGACAAAAATCATGTCCAAAGCCCCTCTGTTAGACATGAAACTATGCTCATTTATGCTGAGTATAAATGATAATACTGAGGATTTGTTGATAGTGCATTTAGATGTGAATACAAACCTAAATACTTCAAACCAATACAGGAGCCCTTGTCCTCATTAGTTGTGTTAAAAGTGCGATTGCCCTCATGTTTGACAGTCCATCACACTGGGTTTGCCCACAGACCCACAGTCCTGAGTGGAAAACCTGGAGATTGAATTCAAGTCAAACTGGGTGGCTGCTGGTTATAAGTTGGAGTTCCTTAGAAGTAAAGCACTGACACACAAAAAAATCATCCACAGACACACACACACACACACACACACACACACACACACACACACACACACACACACATGCACACACACAGAGGGCGTTCCCCTGTTCGCAGAAGAAACTTCCCTTCCCTGCAAGCCGCTGCTGATTCAGTGTAAATATGTGTGTATATGTGTATCAATGTGCTACACTCCACTGTGTCAACACGACCAAATCACAGCTGATGAAACTTTGAGCTGCATGGAGACTCTAAGAACGGGGTTAAGTTAGGAAGTTACAGATAAGTTTAGTTAGATTTAAAAAAAAAAAAAAAAACTGTCTTTTTAGATGGTAAACCACAGCAGAGCTGCAGGGTTCGAGAAGAAACAATGATGTCTGTATTTCAGACATCATCTCAGTTAAAGGTTCACGTTTTCTATCGCTGCCAAGGTTACATTTGCCGTGCTTCTTCTTTAGTCAGTTCACTTCAAGATTGGTCGTTGAATCAGACACTCTCTTAAAACCTAAATCCCCACAGACTGGGTTATTATTATCAGAGGATTTATTATGGTTGTTGTTTTGAGCTGGAATTTTGACTTTGCAAATTACAGACATGGTCAATTCCCGCTGTATTTGAAATTCAGATGCCCTCTGCAGCTGTTACAAATCTTCAGAGGTCCCTGGGTTATACTAATCCATCAGAATGACACTAGCTGTCCTGAACATATGTAAAAGGTAACTTTTTAAAATCTGCACACTTAAAAAGAGATCTACTTTTATTCACCAAGCTGCACCTGCGCGCACACACACACACACACACTCTCTCTTCTTCTTTCTTATGTACTTTTTCTCAATTTCAATTTCAATTTCAATGAGCTTTATTGGAACGATTGTAACTATAATATTGCCAAAGCCATTTAACACAATAATAATAATAATAATAATAATAATGATAACAATAATAATAATCTCCCTCTATCCCACATACACATACAGAGTCAGCTGAACTCGTGATGTGTTTGTTTTACCTCTAAATATCTCAATTACTATATTAACCTATATATGATTCACTGAAATGTGAATCAAAAGGATTTTGTCCCCAATAGGTCTTTACAAATAATTGCAGATTTCAGCCATGAATGTCTGTGGTTGTGGTTTAGTAGTGCTTGGACATGTTGACGCCATGGTGACATCAAAGGCTGTGAAATCCCCCAAAACAGCAGCAGTCAAACCAGAGCGAGTCACCTTCACTTCCTTAAATCCTCCTCTTCAATCTCGAGGATCACTTCTGTTTTCTGTGACCCACATATGATCTGTCTTACATTACTCATGCTGACTGACATACTGTGCTGACAGGAGTCTGAAAAAGATCCAAAGGAAGACAAACTGGTGCAAAACAAACTTCATCCTTTCATGGAAGCGTTAACTCCACACGACTCTGTGATGTTTCAGCTATACAAAAGGCCATCTGAGCAGAGTGTAGACAGGGCGCTCGTGCTTTATTGTAGCCTGTTTCACCTCTCAGTCCTCTGCTTTGTTTTTGAAGCTCCACCAGGATCCACAGATAACTTGTTTGCTTGATGATGGTAACAGGAAAGGAAAAACGGCAGAGGAAAAGAGACAAAAGAAGGAGAGAAGAGATGGAGAGGAAGGTGAGAGAGCGAGGAGAGCCTAGGGGCAAAGGTGAAAGGGTGCACAGAGGAAGAGAGGAAGCAAGAGGAAGAGGGACTGATGAGAATAGAAAGCAGAGGGTAGAAGACCCCCACAAGACTGAGGACTTTGCTTTGAGCTGATTGTCTTTGTGTAGTTGTACTTCAGTCTTTGGATTGAGGATTTGACCTGTCAGAGGATCCACTGAAGAACTTCCTCTCAGAGCAGTCTCTTCACTGTATAACTAAAGTACAGCAGAGTTTCAGTGTCGTACTTCCATAAAGTTGGGCAGACCACATGACCATAGGGTGTCATTTTATTGTTCTATATGACCAAACAGCCTGTAATGGATCAGTATGAAAACTAAAGGTAACGTGTTTGTGCGTGACAGTATACAAACACACACAAAAACTTGTCAGATCTCCTGCATAGCTCTGTGTTGGTAAGATACAGATTGGTGATATGATTCCCATTCCGACAAAGCAGTGATGATACAATAATACATTGAGATATGTTAATACTGTAAGCAGGTAATGATATTACAATATCGCATTTTTTTCTAAATTAGTCTTTAAAAAAAAAAAAAAACTCTAGCACTATGAATAACTCACACTTTTTTGCATGAACAGAAATAGTTCCTGTGAAAAGTTCTGTCAGAAGAACAGCTCAACATCTTATTTGTCAGCAGCAGGTTTGGTGGAGAGTTGTCAGGATGGATCCAATAATTTTATTAGACGGGACAGCCACCATTCTGAGACACTGCAGATCTTTGCAAATAAACTCAAGTCTGAATTACATAATTTCAGTGGATGAGTTTGAAATATGACATTTATTTTCCTTCATTGAAACTTAAAGAACTTTGACTAAAGAGCGGTACCACTACCAACAGTTTAGGCTGATGAAGAGTTCAGAGTCAGCGGCAGAATCAGCTGTTTGGCAGAGAAGATGTGGAAACTGTTTCATTGGCACATTCGGCAGACTCAGCTCTGCTGCTGATCCCACAGACACAGCTCTGCTGCTTGTCCTTCAGACTTAGCTCTGCAGCTCAACCCACAGACTCAGCTCTGCAGCTCAACCCACAGACTCAGCTTTGCAGCTGATCCCACAGACTCAGCTCTGCAGCTCGTCCCACGGACTCAGCTCTGCTGCTCCCCCCACAGATGCATGCTCCTCACAGATGAGGCTATGCTTTAAAGAGAAATAAACAGGCTTAATCCCAACAGAATAAGATGTATACCAGGAAGCAATGTTACAACTGAGAAATGATCCTCCAAACACTGGTGTCCTTTCCTTTCTAGATGAACAAATGAGTATCCATGATTCCCGCTAAGAATGCCGTATCTTGAATTGTCTATTATCAGGAGGACAGTTTTCCGCTGTGGCCTTTCTACTGTGTCAGTCTTAGATGGGTTCAGGCCCAGAGACTGTTGTAGTTGGGGATCATGGATCAAAAATTGGTTTCTGCTTTGCCTCATACAGTTTGAACCTTCATATGTGGGTGCAGTGATGAGCCATTATCACAGTGTATTTTTGATAAACAGCTGTCAGCTCAATGAAGTCCACATCTAATGAAGCAGTATATTACAATCAGGATACAGGATGTCTCTCCATGAACATGGAACATGAATACAAAAATCTAAGTCATCTGCTCATTACAGAACCACATACTGTGTTTCAGAACTCTAATTCTCTGAGTCTGTTTTACAAAACGTGTAACTGTATGTATGTATGTATGTATCTATCTATCTATCTATCTATCTATCTATCTATCTATCTATCTATCTATCTATCTATCTATCTATCTATCTATCTATCTATCTATCTATCTATCTATCTATCTATCTATCTATCTAAACCTGCTCTCTTGGCTTGGACATTTGAGAAAATCATGCTGTGGTGTTTTCATACCCACTGCACACTCAGGGGCTGCTGTCACGGAGTCTGTACTGTTACAGAACCGTGTCAGCCTGCAGTGGGGAAGTCCAGAGGACAATTGAAAGTTTTAACATGGTGGAAGGAAATCCCTGTAGCAGGAATGCTGACCCAGCTAAAGCTTCGAGAAACAAGGACCATGCAAACTGCTGCACAGAGAGGAGCAGAGAGCTGTTTCTACTTCAGCTCCTGTTTTTCATCACCTTATACAGATGTAACTTTTGAAAATGTTGTAGTTTTTGTATTCAGATGAGTAGGGGGTGTTCTGATACAACTTTTGTACTTCCGATACGATACCGATATTGAAGCCTTTAGTATTCGCTGAGACCGATATTGATCAATCTTTTTCGGACTTAAACAAAAATACTGCCACAGGGCTGACATCACTCCTACTCCTTGCTACTTTGTCAGTACCTTATACTGTTGTTGTGATCACATGGACTCTGCATGCTGGATCCAGGCGCTGCTAGATAAGGGTGCCGGAGTGTAGTCTGGAATGGACTTGAATGTATCAGAGTGCTGATATCAGAGATTTTATATATATATGTAAAATCTGCTATCCGTTTTTTGCTGATATCAGACAGATATCCAATATCAATATTGTGTTGGGATTTGGGACACTCCTACAGATGAGTGTGTGAGACATCTGTCATTCTGTGATGGTTTTCTCTTTCAGTCAGTCAGCTGGTCAGAACATGTTTGCCTTTTACTTTGGATCAGGCTGAAACCCCAGTACTGTTGCTAACAAATCCATACATTGCTCCTTATGTTATTAGGTTGACCTTAACCTTCCTGTGTGTGCTCCCTCAGGGTCGACATGTCAAGACAGGGCAGCTGGCAGCTATCAAAGTCATGGAAGTCACAGAGGTAATCCTGTCATCTTATTCACTGAGTCTTTCTGTCTCCATCCTCTGTTTCTTTCTGCCTTTAACAGAGCTGTCAAACAGTCCCAAATAATCACACAATTTCACCAGATATTCCTGATTAAAGAAATATTCAATCAAACAGTATATTCAGTGTCAGTTTACTGAGATTATTGGAGTTGTTGCAGGTTAAGATTATCAAAAAGCATGTTGGCTTTGGTGCAGCCTCACAGAGATCAGTTAGGAGCACATTTAGATTTAGATTTTTCTCCTCAGTTGGTAGGACTCCTCGGTCTGGTTCCTCTGTGTTTCAGACAGTATTTAGCAGGAAATGTCTCACCCACACACACACACACACACACACACACACACACACACACACACACACACACACTGCAGAGGTCTTTGTGTTTCAGATGGAGGTGAGAGTTCAGTCTCTGCCTTGTCTATCTTATGATGATATATAGCAGGTCAGTGACAGGGAGAAGCCCTTTCCTTCGGCTTCAGCCTCAAACCTTTCATCCAGTCCAGTGTAGATGTAGGCGCTCTAGATGTCACTGCTTATTTCCTGGCTTAGTAGTGTCAGAACAAAAGCAGCTTACTGCAGATGAAGCCGAAGTCCAATCTTACTTAGAGATGCTGCGTATGTTAACATAAAGGTGGGTGTCTGGAGGTGATTCAATACTTAATGATTGTTCATGTATTTCAGTTCTCCTAAAAGTATCTGGGTCTGTTGATCTATAGACGCATGAACACTAAACAATAAAAACACCAACAGTGATTTTCTCTGTTGTATCTTTTGTTTTGTTGAAGGAGGAAGAAGAGGAGATCAAACTGGAGATCAACATGCTAAAGAGCTATTCCCACCACAGGAACATAGCTACCTATTATGGAGCTTTTATCAAGAAAGGTCCTGCTGGACAGGACCACCAGCTCTGGGTTTGTACCTGGCTCCTCTTCCCTGTTTGTCTTTTTTTGTAACTAAACGATCCATATTTAGTTGACCAGCTACAAGCCTTTCTGCTTTATATGTAAACAATTGTATTATTATCATTTATGTTATTTCCAGACCTTTTGTCGCTCTTATTTTGACTGTTCCCTGTGTGCCTGTGAGACATGTCTTGATATGTCCCTGTAGTTGGTGATGGAGTACTGTGGAGCCGGCTCTGTGACAGACCTGGTGAAAAAGACGAAGGGGAACTGTCTGAAGGAGGACTGGATAGCTTACATCTGCAGAGAGGTGCTCAGGGTAAGGTGGATGAGAGAAAATCAAATGACCACGCTATGGAGAGGACAATATTTTTGCCTAGTGGGGGCAGTGTTAAGTCATAGTGGGTGTAACAGTGAGCAGGGATTCAGCATCAGTAACCTCCTTGACTGTTGTCCTCTGTTTACATCCTACACCCTGAGCTTTAAGCGGCGTCCTCTGGAGGTATCCTCCAAAAACACACTCAGTACATAGCCCAGCACATTTATAATGATGCAGCCGTACATGTACACAAACATGAAGCTACACACCGAGAACATCTCAGTCCTTAAGGCTGGATGGCTTTCTACTGTTGTTGTAAAGAAACACAACGCTGCTGTAAACATGAGAAGAGAAGGGCCAAACTGGCTCTGGTTCTCCTCGTCAAATGGATCAGTATCTCCGTCATGGTTGTCCCCTGTCACTATGTGAAAATAATCTGTCTATTTATTTATTCATCTGAATACTCAAAGGTAGAGTTGAAGCACATGCCTGTGAGATGTTTTGATTATCATTCTGAAAGACCACAAGGTCCTGAGAAAGACCCGGGGCTGTTTATTAGCAGAGCAGAAAGACGAGCAGGGCAGAGAAAACCTAACAAACAAAAAATTAACATCAGTACAGTTTTTACTCATCCATTTGTTTTTGCTTAACTCGATCAAATGTCAATGGAAAGTGAAAGGATTTATTTATAGTTGTAACAGACTTGAGAGGCTGAAGGGTCTGGACCAGGACCAGGATCAGGGTTTTCCCTGTTTCCGTCAGCCAAGCTGTCTCCTCATTGTCTCAGCACACAGTATACACACAGAGACACACACTGACACTTAGCATAGTATGAAGTCATTGTCTGAAATAGGCCTCACTTCCTGTTTATTTAACCTCCTTTGAAGAAGCGAGAGTCCAAACGCACACAGACACACAAAAACCAGGACTTAAACTGTCCTAGATTGTAACGGTGCCCTTGGGTCACCTCACTATCTACATTGAGGTTATTCTGAATCTTCTCAGAACTGGGTTGTGAACAGAAAGCTTTCTTTCTTCACAACAAACACATCATTTTAAGTTTCTTTTCCGAGCGTGTTTTCAGCCTCACATCACTCCGAATGTGATCATCTGACTGTGTGTCTATCTGTGAGGTTTAGAGTGTGTATATTTGTCTTCCTGCAGGGTCTTTCCCATCTTCATTCCCATCATGTGATCCACAGAGACATTAAGGGACAAAATGTTTTGCTCACCGAGAATGCCGAAGTCAAACTGGGTATGACACATCAACACATGCATTGTGGTTTCCCCAGCACACATTCTGCCTTCAAGCAAAGCAGCAGCAATCATAGAGTCATACACACAGATATACATCACAGACTCACACAAACACCACATGAGGAGGCAGGGACTGAGCCTGTTTTAGATGTACCCAGTCAACCGTTCCACTTTTTTTTTTTTCCCGTAGTTGACTTTGGAGTATCGGCACAGCTGGATAAGACGATTGGTCGGAGAAACACCTTCATTGGCACTCCCTATTGGATGGCTCCAGAGGTCATCGCCTGTGACGAGAACCCTGAGGCCACGTATGACTACAGGGTACTGACAACACAGATTAGGCACTCTCGAAGTAATCCTACTGCTCCATTCTTTCTGTGAACGTATGAGTATCTGAATATAAAAGTGCGCTTCGACTGAAGTTCCTGTTCAAACTTTTAGTTCATGCTGATCATGAATGAGGTGGTCTGAGGTCAAACCTGAACAATGTGTTTTAATATATCAGGATAATAGAGAAAACAGATAACAGCAGAAATAGAGATAACAGAGATATCTGTGAAAAAAGAAATAACAGATATCAGTGATAATAGAGATAACAGAGATATCAGCAATTATAGAGATAACAGATATTAGCGATAAAACATATAACAGATATTTGTGATAATAGAGATAACAGATAGCAAAAACAAAGCTAACAGAGATGTCAGAAATAAAAGAGATGACAGAGATATAAGCAATAATAGAAATAACATAGATGTCAGTGAAATAGAGAATCAGAGATATCAGCAAAAATAGAAATAAAGATATTAGCAGTATTAAAGACAACAGATATCAGCGATAGTAGAGATGACAGAGATATCAGCAATTATAGTGATAACAAAAATATCTGGAATAATAGTGATAACAGGGATATCAGCAAAAATAGAGATAAAAAAGATATGAATGAAAATAGAGATGACAGAGATACCAGCGATAATAAAGTATCAGAGACATCAGCGATAATAAAGATTACAGATATAACAATAATAGAGATAACAGAGATATCAGAGATAAAAGTGATGAAAGAGATATCAGCGATAATAGAGATGAAAGAGACATCAGCAGTAATAGATGTAACAGAGACATCAGTCATAATAGAGATAACAGAGATATGAGAAATCATAGAGATGACAGAGATGTCAGCAATAATAGAGATTACAGTCTTGAAGTTGTCTTGAAGGCTCAGGAAAGCCATCTTACCTGGAGACTCATCCATGTTAGCTAACTTACAGCTGAGGTTAACCAGGATGGCCTCTAAGGATCACTGGAGAGTTTCATTATAGTTGTTACAGACTGAAGTTTAGAGGAAATGGAAGAAGTCAGTCTTTGTTTCGCCAGTCTCTGTTTCATGTGTGCGTCAGTCCTGACCTCCTCCTGTGTCTCCTGTCCTCAGAGTGACCTTTGGTCCTTAGGCATTACTGCTCTGGAGATGGCTGAAGGAGCACCTCGTAAGTAAGACACACTTCAGTGTACACACAGGCTGTATCACAGTCTATTTGAGCTGCATGCTTTTTAACCTTTTAGGTTTGTTCATGTCCTTGCCTGTTTCTCTGTCTCTCTCACTGTTTTTGTAAACGACTCTCTTGTTTCCTCTCTGATTTGTTTCTAGCTCTGTGTGACATGCATCCAATGAGAGCTCTGTTCTTGATTCCACGAAACCCTCCTCCCAAACTCAAATCAAAAAAATGGTAAGTCTGTGCTGAAGGACGGTGTGGTGGTTCTGAAAATAGCTCGAAAAAAGGCCTCTGTCTGGGTTTTTATGCACCAGACAAACAGACTAAATATTGTTCCTCCTTGTACTCCATTCTCACAAGGTCAAGGTCGCTCCAGTTCAAAGTCACTGTCATATTTTGTAAGCAACCAGATAAACTGAGTCCTTATTTAGTAACCCTCCAGTCTCTGTCTTTCACTGTCCTCCTCTACTCTCTTGTCACCCTCTCTGGTTGTCTCTTCCATACATAATGAATAGGTTTGCAGGACAGCTTGCAGGACAGCTTTTGATAGCTTCAACAGTCAGGGGGGGTCATGGTGGTTGTGGTCCTTTTGCCTCAGGGCCTACCGGAGGCAGCAAGCCTTCCAGAACCGAACCACCACAAGTATTTCTCCTCCGTTTTCCTCTAGTTTAGAGCAAAGACGACATGTCTGTTAATTGATGTTTCTTCAGCAGAAATCAGACTCAGCTTTTTTTGACAGGATTTTTTTCTTTTTTTTGGTTGCACACTGATGAGTGATTTCGGTAAGTTCCAGTAAATATTAAAGTAGTTTGTGGCATGTTATTAAAACGTTTACAGATTCATTTGACTGAGAAACTTTGATTTTAATGCTTTTGTCATGTGATTTGACTTAATGTGTGTGACTGGCTCAATGCTCTGCTCTGTGCTGTAAGAGTTCAGGTTGTTTGTGTTGATCTTTTTTTTTATATAAGAGAACTTTTTTTTTTCTGTTTGATCTGGACTTCATTCTGAATGTGGTTTACAGTGGAGGCGTACATCGATGTTAATGTGTCTGTTAAATGTCAGTGAGTTCATTTCTCTTCTGTCTATTTTCAACTCTTGAAAGTCGGTCATTAAACATGTACAGATGACATTTACAAAACCTAAACTGAGGTGTGCAGGGGCATATCCTGAAGGCATTTATGAATATGATACAAACAGGTTTACATGAGGCTCCTGATCAAGAAAAAACAAATAATACATTTTAGAATTAAATAACGTGTCAAACCTGTTTTCCCACCAGCACTGTCTCAAATATGATCTTTCATCTCTCTGTCTTTTGCAGGTCAAAGCGGTTTTTGTCTTTTGTCGACGGTTGTTTAGTCAAGAACCATTTGCATCGACCCACTACAGACACTCTGCTGAGACACGCTTTCATCAGAGATCTGGCGAATGAAAGACAGGTTCGCATCATGCTCAAAGACCACCTGGACAGAACCCGCAAGAAAAGAGAAAAAGGTAAGGATGGATTTCACCAGAAACGGACATCAGAGTTCCGTCCAGTTTTAACATGTTAGAGCTGAGGAATGATAACACAGCAGCAGTTTTCTTTAAGCTTTTCTGCTCATTTCGAGGAGTCAACATGTTTGCATACTCGACATTTCACAAAGTTTTTGTTTCTTTCTGCTGAAGATGCATGATGCTCTCGATGAGTTGCAGAAATGTACTATATGTATGGAAAAAAGAACGAAGAGCGGGCCTGTGGGGAGAAGGACAGCTATGACTGTGCCCTGCTTTGATTCTTACATTAGGATTTAGGTCGAAATCGTCTCGTTGCCCATTAGACCTAGTCATTTTGATGACTAAACACAGCTGAGGTAAGGGGGATAGAAACCAACCAAGACAGTGATTACAGCAGAGAAAATAGACAGGGTGAGAGAAAAACAGCTGAGAGAGGAAGAGAGAGAGAGAGAAGGAAAGTGCTGGAGCGAGGCAGAGAGGGGAAGGAAGGAGGAAACAGATTGTCCATCTGGTTCTAATCTTCTGTTAGCTTCTAAAAACACACAAATGACTGACGATTATGTGTTTGGTTGTTTGTGTTCGTGTGTGTGTGTGTGTTCACAATCAGATTTCAGCGTGTGTTTATGCCCCTGTAGAGAAATGAAATGCTTCTCGAGATGGATTTATTAATATTATCAGTCAGACTGAGTTTTGGAAAATGTATCCCTCCTCCGTATAAAAAAAGGTCGAACATTAGCAGCGGCCGTTCTTTTTTCTCATCTCCTCTCACACTCTCCTGTTCCAGTCTGACTGTTCCAGTCATTCTCTGTCTCAGACTAACACACCTGTGTCCTGTTACCTTCCGGGGTAGTGAGGACAACATATGGCCTGTCCAGTGAAGTAAAAGCTCAAGTTCGACTGAGCTTCTTTAAGTTCACAGGCTCATCGTACTGGCCTCTGGACAGCAAGTCTCCAGACTTGTTTTGGTCTAGTGATCATGTACAGTTTTCCCATTTATTATTCAGAGTTCAATGCTGAAGGATGGGTACCAACCATAGACTGTATATAGAATGGACAGTCTGCCTCCTCGCGGGGTGAAGCCACTCCAAGAACAGCACCCTCTGTTGACAGGCTGCAGTATAGGCCATAAATCCCGCCTCCGCCAGCAAAGCTTATGGAGCTGTGGACAAACTTTAGAAATTTGTTACACAGAACATAATTTTTTCTCCCCCCTGCTTGTGATGTTGACATGTCCTCTTTTTTCTGTGCAGCCCCGTTTTTAGAAGTTATTAGGGGGTTCATGTTTTCTATGATTGACACCTGATACAGCCTATGGGTGTTCAGGGATTGCGTAGCTTACCCGGGGGATACGCTGTTTGAGCCGAGCGTCATCACAGCGACTCTCCAGCCGAATGCGCACAACGCCACTGCGTAGTGCTGGTTTCAGGAAATGAAGAAAAATCCCGGAAATACTGAGAGCTTTTTGGCTTCAAATCCTTATACAGGCGGGAGGTGAGACCAAGTTGTCCATAATATATACAGTCTATGGTGCCAACGGCTCCACCGTAATTGTTCCTTTAATCAGAAGTTTTTCATTTATTTGTGTCATTCAGTCTCATGCTCTATTCTAACCCTATCTCTCTGTCTTTGTTTGTCATGTTGGGTGTAATAAATTATCAGAAGGTTGTTTCATTTGATCTGAACCCCAGTAGGCTGAACTCTGGAGTTCTTCTGTTCAAACAGCCCTCTAAATGAAAATCTCACCTCTGTTTTAATGGCTGCTTATGTGAAGACACTGTCAGGGAGTTTTTGCTGGTGGTGAACGAGTCTGGAATTAAGAGTTTAACCTCTAGATGAGCAAAAGCAAGGCTATCAAAGAAGTCTGACTTTTTCTGTGGTTATTTGTTGATTGTCTTCAACCTCTGAGCTGTAATGAAACAATAATCTCCAACACAGAATATTGATTAGGTTGTAATTTGATTGGTTAAAAGGTGTTTGATCAAAAATATTCTGAGTGTGTTGTTTAATTGTTAACTCTGTAGCCCTCTTAATAAGCTCTCAGTGAGCTTACTCAGCAGACTTTACTGACATCAGATTGAATGTTTCACCCCACGGTCTGCATGAGTCAGCTTCACACCTGTTTGAGTTTTACTGCTGTCACAGATGGAGCCAATAACATTATAAGTCCTTGAATGCTGTAAATATTTACTCTTCAGCTCTGCAGCGTTTCCTTTCTGAACCCTCTCCACAGCTGATCCTTGGTTCTCATAAGGTGATATTTTATTTTGTATAAAGTCTTGTTGGATAAATGACCAATAATGTTCCTGTCTCTCTCTCTCTCGTCATTGTCCCTGTTGGTCTTTCTCTTGAAATGTTAGAGGGTCCGGAGTATGAGTACAGTGATGGTGAAGAAGAGGAAGATGAAGTGACAGAGGAGGAAGGAGAACCCAGGTAAAACCCTTTTCATGACATGAGTTGTTCAAAAATTAATGAATATGCAGTTGGGTCTAAATGTGATGACTCACTGACTTGGAACAGATTTCCTGTAACCCAGATTGACAGCGACTCTTCCACATGTACTCAGTGAAGCTGTTAAAAACGGTCCATCCCTAAAGCAGTAGTGCTGCCAAGGAACAGTAGAGTTTGCCTGCACCTATGGGAGATGTCTCAACTTACCAGCTGTGTTTGAGAGTGTGTTTCTTTGGGGTGTTCGCATGTGTCCTGGGTTCAAAGCAAGCTCAAAGTCCTAGCTCACAAAAATAAGTGCTTATGAACGTGCAAATTAAGGATGAAGGACACTGGTGCCCTCAAAAACAGGACAGACAGCCTTTCTGGGACCAGTATTTGCTGGGCACTCTTTGTCATGGTATGAGGTTTCATCTATCCGTCAAGGCCAATACCGTGCCTTTAAACAAACTTACTTGTGTACTCTCTTGCGGTCTTGCTCAGGGTTCCAGCCCCATCTGTCCCTTACAGGTGTCCAACTGGAAGCAGAATCTCAGAAAGTCGGTCTCATTATTGCTAAAATCCCATCCAAACCTCCATGTGGTGTACTAGTAGCATGAAAGAGGTGATGGTGGTGTGCAGAGCTGTTGTCCAAGCAGTTGATCTGTGTTCGATTCCTTCTCATTCTGTTTCTTAACCTTGAGTTAAATTGCTCTTTCTGAACAGTCATGCCTCACCAGAATGCAAATATAATGCAGACCACCAGAGGGACCAGTCAGGGCTCTAATTCAAGGCGTAGTTACTGCTCTCTACTTACCCTGGTGTTCATATATAGTCTACCATGGTTAGGTCTTAATCCGAAGCCTGTCATGGCTGTAGAAGTCAGAGAAATGTTGATCTTAGTTGTAGCCGGAGTCAGCAGCCATAGACAGCTCTGATATGTTCCAGGTGGGCCTCTCCAAATGCTCTGTGTCCAGTAGACATGACAGTTAGTTGTCTGGTGAGTCATAGTGGTGAGCGTAGCTGCCTCTATAACAGTCGACCTGGGTTTGATTGAGATATGGACTTTATCACCACTTTATCCCAGTAAGAAAAAAATGATTATACAACTTTGTTCTCATGAGAAGATTATTTAGATTTTACAAAATGTTCATTTTTTTCTGTCTTCAATGTGGCCCTTATACTCTGTGGACCTCGTATGGCTGTAAAAATGTTCCTGTAAGTGCAGATGCCATGTACTCAAAAACATCTCTATGTCCTCTAGATATTTAAACAGCAGATGGCTCTACCACTACCCCTGAGGCTGGCTGAAGTTTGTGTTCAACTGTTCATGCGTGTTTATTATCATTATATCACAGTGCCCTCAGTATCTTGTCTTTCTGTCCTTCCCTTGAAGCTCCATAGTAAATGTTCCTGGTGAGTGGACGCTAAGACGGGAGTTCCTCCGTTTACAGACCGAGGATCACGAAGAGGCCAGAGAGGGAGGCCAAGGAGGAGGTGGGGCCAGACATAGACAGCAGGTAGGATTCAGATTTTGCATGATGGGTGTTACTTCTTCATCTTTTCTTAACTCAGTAACAAAACCTGCAACAAAGACTTTAGAGTTTGAGAAGCCTCTTTGAAGCTTCTGCGTATTTCTGAGCTTTCACAGTATATACATCATGTCCAGCTTTTACAGCAGCAAAGACAGCAGTTGGCAGAGCAGGAACGATACAAGCAACAGCTGCTGGCTGATAGACAGAAGAGGATCCAGCAGCAGCATGAGCAACGGCAGAAGTTAGAAGACGTAAGTACTTTAAGATGCCATCTTTCTCCTTAATAACTTAGCATGTGCAGGTAAGTCTGCTGATGAGAGCGCTGCAGAAAACGTTGCATAATAAGGAAAATATTCAGATTTTTCAGCTCTATTTGATCAGCTCTAACTGTGTCTGAGTTTCATATACTTGTATGAAATGTCCCGGCAGAAATAGCCTGTCTCTGTTGTTGGTAGTGGGTGAGGTTACACTCATTAGTATATGAAGAACTTTGTTGTTGTCTGTGTAAATGTAGTTGTCATCAGTGGTACTTTTTGCTGTTTGCAGCAGCAGAGGCGGCAGCTGACAGACTGTGCCTTTCAGTGGGCAGACCTTCAGGAGATTCTGCTGGGGGAGGAGTCTGATCTCCATGGAAACCGAGTCTTCCTGGATGATAGAAACAGCAGGAGTGACCGGAGACAGGTGAAGATAAATCCATCCTTCTTCATCACTTCTTTTTGAAGACATTGGTTACCACTGTGATTTGTCTGGCTCAAAGTGCCCTCATTTTTAAAAAGAGATGTAAAAGGAGCGAGAAAATATAGAACTGTAATTTAAATCAGTCTATGTAAATAAGTCAGGTTTCACAAACTTTGACTCACATCAAGATTTTGAAGAGAGATTCAGAAAGAGGTCATGATGAAATATTTACAGTTGTGAGTGTTAGCTAAAAGCTGCATGCCATCCTGCACATTCTGAATATTTTAGCGCCTACCTCACCAAAAAACTACTCAAGACCTTAGTACATCCTAATTAAAGGAAAGACCATGTGTGTGTGTGTGTGTGTGTGTGTGTGTGAGAGAGAGAGTGTGTGTGAGAGTGTGCGTGTCTGCAGAGCAGACAGTGATAGACTGTTGCAGAGCTGGTATTAAGCTTAAATTTGAGGGTAACACTGCGGAAGTTCTGAAAGGTTCTGGACCAGGCTGCCACATTATCTAACCCCACCACATGGATCTCTGTGTGTGTCTGTGAATGTTGTCGTATGTGTCTTCAGCAGGACCGTGCAGGCAGACACTGTGGTGCTGATGTGTCTGTAAGACCTCTGGACTCGTTTTCAGAGCAGGTAAAAAAGCTTTTCCTTTTTAAACTGACCTGTGATTCATTTCTAAGGTTGTAGATGTTAAACTGACTCTGATCACCTCTCACAGTAAAGATGGTAGCTGTCAGTCTGTCAGGCTCTTACAAACTAATGCTGGATGTGGTCAAATGAAGTCACATCACAGTCTGGATCGCTTTAAGTTTTCAGATATAGTGATTTAGTAATTTAACTTGAAAACAACCAGATGTTGTGACTTTTGTTGCTTTAAAACGTAAAGTAAATTCAGACTGTGTTATTAAGCTAAGGTAAAAATACATTTTACTCCCAGACTGAACCTAAGAGGGACCGTTTATATAAAGAGTGTGTGGGGGGTGATAGGGAAGACAATTGTTTGCTGTGACTGTGTCTTCATGAATAAGTCAATTTACAAGCTCCTAAGATTACTAAAGAAGAAAATATATTTTTTATCTAAATGACTTTGAGAAGCTGAGAGAAATAGCAGCATACCATAGCAGCACACTGTAGCAGCACACCATAGAAGCACACTGTAGCAGCACACCTTATCAGCACACTGTAGCAGCACACTGTAGCAGCACACTGTAGCAGCACACCATAGAAGCACACTGTAGCAGCACATTGTAGCAGCAGGATTAGGTCTTGATTAGGTTTTTTATTTTTGTTTGTTGTAGTGTGTTGAGGATTTTGATTTCAAGTCTCTCCATCTCTTATCACACAGCTGTTCCCTAGCGTTAGCCTCTAGACTTTTTTCTCCCATTTTTTTCTTTTCTATCATTTAATCAGTTTTTCCTTTTGTTTTTTTCTCCTCCTATTGGTCTCATTGTTTCCAAAATTTAAGGATCTAAGATTCATTAATAGTTTTTCCTTTTTTTGTCATTTTGTTCTTCTTTATATTCTCTGTTCTTTTTCTTTGATACTGCTGTGTATTTTACTCAGTGCTGTTTTATTACACATTACTAACTCACTGTTTAGGAAGATTGATATAAGGGGCTGTATTATTTCCCCAGCACTCTGGTTCACAACAAAGATTGATTTTCATGTAATGAAATGTTTCAGTCACATTCATGGATTTATTTACAAAGGAGGGTTGTCTTTAGAGTTTCTCTTGTTTCAAGCTTGTTCTCAGGAGACTACAGCAGGTCTTCTTTTAGGGGGCCACATGCTTATAAATCTTATCCTGTTTAGGTGGCATGAGGAACAGAACCATGTTAAGGTGGACAGAACATTTGCACATAATGTTTATTCCTTTGTTTTGTTGATGCTGGAGGAGCTGCAGTGTTTTCTGGAGAAGTAAAAGTTCTGAAATGCATAAAAAAAACAAGTTTGCTCTATTTACACCTCATCTTAGAGTTTCTCTTAATCATTTAGAAAGAGACATGTTTGCATGTTTTCAGTAATGGCTTGCCAAAGTACATTCAAAGTGACGAAACTACTTGGTAAAATCTTGTTTATTTTCAATATGTGGTCAATTGAAACCCAGAAACATCCTCCTGTTTTAAGTCCTCCTCCTTTGCAGAATACAAAGTTCTTGTGTTTTTCTCAGCTCTGACAGTTTTCTTGCCTCATGTTTATCCTAAAGAGAGCTGTGTTTGGTTTGAAGTGTTATATCTTGCTGTCCTCTGCAGCTGGACTGATTCTTCAGTCTGAATACATGTTGGCTTGTGTTTGACTGTAAGCGCTTTATTGTCTGTCTGTGATTGTGATATCCAGCTTGATGCTCCAGGATCTGCTTTATGTGGACTTTTTGCTTCAGTTGTGGCTCGGATTCTGCAGAACTTGGAGTACACACATGCAGCACACATTTCAACCGTCCATCCTGATAGTTCAGGGAACAAATTGTTCATATGAAAATTAGGAACAGCAACATAATCCGCATTGATAAAAACAAACGAAGCAAACATTGCCTCTGTTTGTATTTTCATGGCTTTAAACTTAAAAACTTTACTATTTAAGCCTTGTTCATGTTGATTTGAGTCGTTTATGAGTTTTTATCTAACAATGGATGAAAGATATTAACTCTGAGGCAGTGGTACCACATTAAAATGATGTTAAATCATGCTAAACATGAAAATGGAGAACAACATGAGGACATGGGTGTCACTTAACTCTCAAATGAGGAGAGCATTTTTCAATATAGTTCAAATCTCACCTTTACAACAGACCAGAGTTTCTGTTTAAACTGCTGCTTTGTTTTGGTACATGTGGACCCAAGAGACTCAACACAACACTCAGATATACATACAAATATATATATATACATATGCCTTTATCCTCCAGACTCTGTCAGCTTTTCTGTCTGCTTTTTATGTTTGCTACTCAGAGAGCTGCGGTTTCAAACCAGCTGCTTCAACACAAGTCCCAGCTATCCCGTCCAAAGCAACAGCCGCAAGCAAAGCCCCAGTCTCTCGCTCCACATCAGCAGCCCTCAGCAAGCAGAAGATCGCACCGCACCCTGCCAAAGGACCAAACTCAGCTCCTTTCACTGCAGCACGACCACAGACACAGGGATAGGGAGAGGGAGAGGGAGAAGCAGAGAGGAAAGCCCTCAGCTCATAGTGGGAACACAGCTGCTGCTGTTACTGCTGCTGCTGCTTCCTCACCCAGCCACTCTGCACACAGCCAGCGTCCAGTGGTAAAAGCCCGCCTTCCTCAGCTATCCCACACCTCAGTTTACCCTGCGTTCATTTTTTTACAGCTTTTCACTCGCACCTTCCACATTTTACTGCAATGGTTAAGTTTTTCTTCTTTGCCTGCCTTTTGCTTTTGGTTTTTCCTTTTCTTATTCTCTACCAACTTCCACTTTTCTGGGTTAGTGGACCCTTGAGTCATATGCTGAAAGTTGACAGAAAATAAGCAGATATTGGTTAAGTGATATGCGAATATATAGACATATACCCAACTGAAATATGATGCATACCCTCTCTTAAGGCAAAGACATACAGGATCAATATTGAGCGCATTCCGCCTGTGTGGGGTGTTTGCTCCGTCAAGCAGCTCCGTTGAGCAGGATGCATATTTGGAGCGTAGCAGCAGCGTAGTGCAGCCCCGGTCAGCTGGGTTCAGTACAGAGGAAACAACATGCTCACAACAGGTTGTTTTGCCTTTCTGTGGTCTATTTCCTGCTAATTTGGATTTTATTCTGTGACTATTGAACCTCTACTGAATGTGAAAAGCAAAATGATTTTACAGTTTTGGTTTTTGCAGGTTTACTCATGTTTAATAAAGTAAACTATGTTCCTTTATACTGTGCTGTTACCTTCAGACAGAGTCAGCAGTTAAAAGTCCTGTCAGGGTCCACATGCATCAGAGATTGACCATTGGATTGTTCTGTGTTACTCATCAATCCAAAACCAAGAAGTATTTGTCATCTACACCAACTGATACACAGTCAGAAGTCTGCATATGGTGTTTTATTTTGAAATTTACCAGATGACGTACGGATTTCGTGCATTACATCCTGTCTAGAATGATCTTCTCTGTGTAGATTGACGTGTGTTGGAAGCGTAGAGCAGCAAAAAAAGACCTGACGCATATCTTTGGCAGAGCTGCGCTTGATAAGCTTCTGATATGGAGCTGCGATGGAGCTGATATGCGTCCTGTATGCGATGCTGTATTGTTTAGAACAGTAACCTATTTGATTCGTGATACACAACGCTGAGGATACAAGCTCAATACAGATCCTGTGTGTTTTAGCCTTTTGTCATAGTAAAACTAGAAAAGGACTGAGGAGCATCAGTGACATGCTTTGAGAGGAGATTATCGAACAGCTAATCCTTGGGCCTCCAGAAAAATCAGCTGCAGTAAAACACAATGAGGGGTTTACTGGATTAATTTTGACTCATGATGAAGGCAGAATTCTGGGTTTGAAATATTGGATATTTGTGTGAAGAGTTCATGCCTGAACTAAAGTGATAAATGCTCCCTGCTTGAATCTTTAATGGTTTTGTCTGTGTGTCATTAGTCTGAATAATCTAGCGGGTCAGTGAATCAGTGTGAATCAGCCTTTTTTCAGGCCCATGGTACCACCTGTGTTTGTGTTTTAGATGGACATCCAAGAATCAAATCTTGCCAGGCTCCTTTTAGCAGCTGGTCTTCCCAACCAGGTGCACCCTAGGATGGGCTCTGGGAGCAGCTCCAGTCCTTGTACCCCAGCCATGCAGAGAGCCCACCCTAACCAGGTGTCTTAGTTATATCCCTGTTATTAATGTTGTTTCTATGCAGGTATGATCTGCAGCTGTGAATGGCCAGACTGATGCTCTTTATTTTTTCCAGAATGTGAATCTACGTTCGAGTCGTGACGCCCCTCACAGCAGCTCCATGTCAAATATGGCCTTGTCCCCCTTGTCCCCGCTTAGCCCCATGTCCATAACTGATGAGGTCTTCTGGGACTCAGCAGAGACACCACCTAAGGTGAGCAGTGACGGTCTCATCATCTGACCGGATTTTTCCTTTTATCCTCTTTATTGCTGTTGAAAAGGAAATCACAATGGTCATGACGGACACAGGATGCCAGCCTGCATCACATGAGGTTTGCCAATCATGTGCTCTGGTCATACCAAACTTAAGGAAGTGGTTTCCACAGCAGGAGTGTTTTCATGGGGTGTAAGGTCTTATTTTAGAGGAAGTAGGAGTGGGAATAGCAGATTGAAAAGCAGTTTTTCTTGAACGCAACACTGTGAACTGTGAAGTGCACCGTTCTGAAGAGCCCCTGTGTCAGTGTTACTCTCTGGTAGGGCTGTGAGGTTTGTCCTTTATTGTATCTTTAGTTTTTCGGCTGAGTTTTTTCTATAAGTCATATCTCTCAGTATTTTGAAACCCCTGCTGTAGCACAGCACAAAGACTCAGTTTCTGCCATCAGTGCATACTCTATATTTTTACCAATGTTATGATTATGATTTAAAATACATTTTATTCAAGGTTACATTAAGGGAAGACTTAGGGGATACTGCAGTTTTCATGAAATCTAAGAATGACAGTAACACAAAGTAGCTCAGTACTATAGAGCTTTGGCTCAAAAAAAACCCTTTAATTCTCTCTTACTGTCAAAGAAAAAACAGCAAAACTACAACCACCAAGAAAAGCCATCCACCCACCTTACCCGCTCATGCAGACACTCCTCTGTCTCTCTCTTCCTCTGCGGACTGATACTCATCATAGTGACTGAAACCCTGAAGTGGCTTTTTAACTGCTTCGCTTTGGGTGTGACTTATACGTTATGTCCTTACACCCACCTGAACTCAAGCACATACTGATATATGTTCACACTGAAACTGTCCAGAGGGCTGGGCTGCTTCTGCACCTGCTGAATCTGTGAAAATACAACAAACTCTAATTCTTAAAGCTCGTACAGAAGTTTTAACTGCACCCCGAACTGTGTCTCCAAGCTCCTGTGCGGTCTGCACACAGTTGTATCAACCAAGTGATCCCTCTCTAGTCTTCTGAGGCTCATTACTTAAAAAACTCCAACACTATGAGAAGCTGCATTATAATGTTTTATAGCTCAGTATGAATGTAAGATGGGCTATACACAGACTTTCCACTGATCAACACAACAGTTTCACTTGAAAACTAACCATCTCCCTCTCTGATCATCTGTGTGTGTAGACAGTTTGGTTCCATCAGCTTCAAACAGAGAGGGTAAAACAGCTTGAGGGCAAAACCAAACCAAAGTGCATGAAGCTGCTGAACTAAAATATCACTTCAGATCATGCTCTAGTGATCAGACTTTGATGATGAAGCAGATATTGGATGCTTTAGATGATCATGTATGTGCCCCTGGGAGTTAGCGTCATTTCCAGTAAGCTCCATCTGTAAAGTGAAATGTGTGCTGAAACAGTTGGCAGGAAACCAGAGACACACCTCGGCATGTGTGTGCGTTCACAGGCTTGCATGCAGGATGTGGGCAACTTGCGAAAGGGATGATAGATATTTCCAGCGTTCGCTTCCGGCTCTGCTGGGTGTGGCTTCCTCTGAGTTACTAGGTCATGAGAACAGGACACCGGAGGTCAAAAGGTCACCTGCTGATTGGTGAAATTCTGAGGAATCAAGTTTTGAAAAAAAAAAAAAGTTGACAAGTGAGAGTTTTGCCACACTTTCATAACTGCAGAAACCTGTAAAGCTAGCTGGGAAATGAGACTGTGTAAAAAGGCCCCTGACCTTCAGGAGAGTGAAACAGCTTCTCTAGACTCCACAGAGACCACCACACTCCTGCAGTTACTGACCAGAGGTTTCTGTCATTACAATGGATTCGGATTTTTACCCCTTTTCTCGTGTGTCTTTCAGGTCCCTGAGCGCACTACCTCCAAGTTCTACTGTCGAGATCTTGTGTTGGGACACAAGAGAGCAGCTTCGAGGTAGACCACAGATACACTGTGTACACACAAACCCGCAGACAGCAGGCTCAGAGATATATGTAGTTAAAGACGGCCAATTAATACAATCTGTGTGTGACTGTGTGTGTCTTTTACCATCTAGTGGCAGTCCAGAGTCTTTAGCAGAAAAAAGTGGAAGGTCTGTAACTCATGACATCTCCTCTACAAGCAGCAACCATCCAGGTTAGTAAGAGATAAACTCACCAAACTGAGCCCTGTGGTTGAGAAGGAGAACTCTGATATATTGGGTGTCTGTATAACTGCTGCAGTTTGTGTTGGTGATTGAGAGTAGAACTGTGTTTCTTATGAACAGTATGAACATATAGTTGTAGACTGAAGTCTGGACTCTCATAGATACGGAAGAGGATTAGGGCCACTGAAAAAAAAAGAAAGGTCTGATAATTTTTTTTTAAATTATTATACTGAGAAAAAAGTCCGAAATTATGACTCTAATCTCTGAATTCTGACTTCAAACTCAGAATAATAATTTTAAAAATTATATTGGACCTTTTTTTTTTTTTTGCAGTGGCCCTTATCCTCTTCCGTACATAACTTACTATGAACACTGTTTGTAAATAACCTTTTTTTTTTACCTTTAACCCTAACCAGATGTACCTGATTTCTTCAGTACTTTTTTTTATGTCTCTTCACCTCTTTGTATCTTCAGTCTGTTTTTGTGTTTAATACCATAAATCCTTTTTGGCAAGTTTAGCAGTTAAAAGGTAGACTTTTTCTCTAATTCTGTTGGTTGTTGGTATCTTGGTTAGTTGGTCTAGTTGACTAGGAGAACTCTGGTTTGCTGTTTTCTGGCTGTTTCACTGCGTCTAATATGAGATTTGATTTGTGTGTGTGTGTGTGTGTGTTTGTTCGTGTGTGTGTGTGTGTGTGTGTGTGTGTGTGTGTGTGTGTGTGTGTGTGTGTGTGTTGGTAGGTTACTCTCAGCTGGAGAGTCCTCTTCTACAACCTCGTCTACAGCTTCACAGGAGGACACAGGGGAACATCACTAATGTGCAATCACATGTAAATGCAGAGTCTTTTCCCTTTAAGTGTTCACAGCTTTGATACCATGACGTGTGTGAGCAGCTATGACGGTAACATTATCATAAAATCTGGTTCGCAGCAGAACATGTGGACCAGAGTGTACGAGTATTTCCGTCATGTAGTTTTTAGTCTCATCTCCGTCAAATAAAACTATGATCTACTGTTTCTGTCAGTACTCCCTCACCTGATTGGTCCTGATCTCTGTCATGCAGGGTGGTAGATCTGCTCTGGGTCGGCTCAACAAGGCCACAGAATACTCATCCTCCAGTGATGAGGTTGGCAGCAGTGATGAAGAGGACAATAAGAGGTGAAAATACCTTTCCTGACTTTGGTTCAGTTTTTTTTTTTTTTTAACATCTAGAAAACTTCACTTTGGTCCAGTTTTCAAACATGGTGGTGAAATGTGTTCAAAGATTTACCTGTGATGAAGCCCCGATAAAAAAAATAAAAAAAAAAAACAGAGAAATGACGTCTGACTCTGAATGTTTATGGAGTTATTCATGATTGCCATCAATGAGATACTGTGATTTAAAAATCTAAACACACAGGATTAAAAGTCATATATTTTGAATTCTTGATCTGATATTTCATCTGTACTTTTAAAAACAAGTCATCTCATTGATCACTCTCACTAACATGTCTTTAGTAAAGTACTGTTGTGTCTGTGTGTAATCAGGTTTGATCCTTCTCCTTTGTGTTCCTCTTCTGGTCTAACTTATGTCCCAAAAAGCTCATCAGCTTTATTTTCCCTTTGAAGAGTGAAGCATGTCTGTTTCTCTATGTTTGATTCAGTCAGAGCCTCATCTAAAATCTTCACCTGTCTGTGTGTTTGAAGGTCTGGCTTGTCCAATGGGAAGGGGAAATTCATTAGTGGAATACCTGATGGCATCGTCCTTCAGCCTCACCAGAATCTCAACCAGGTGCCCTGAATCTGCTGCCTCTCTGCTGCCATGCTTGGCCAGATTTAGTTTTGCAGTTCCGTATTAGAAAGTCGGAGGTGTTTGTGTCCAAGGGGTTTGCTGTTGGGAACAGTGATAAACTCCAGGTTATCTCTTTTCTTCTTACCGGTGCTTGTGCTTGTCTTGTCAGATTTCTCGGGTAGGTTCAGATGACACTTACCTGCTCCCAGACCTCCTCCAGAAGACATCCTCCTCCAGTCCTACCCATAATTCACTGGGCCAAAGGCAAACACACGATCTCAACTACTCGCTCTCACCTACAGCCCCTCGATGCAACACTCACCAGGAGCTTTACGTGAGTTTTTAGAAAAAATACAAATATTTCTGTTGACAATTTAAAAACATTTAAAATGATCTGTTTGTTGCTTTGACTGGTTCGAGGACTCTGTGAAGTTTAAATAGTCTCTAAGCCTTTAAGGGAAGAGCTGGGTCTTAAAAAGTCTTAAAATGTCTAAAATCCAATAATTTGAATTTAAGGCCTTTAAATGTCTAAAATTCTCTTAAAACCTCATAAAATGCCCTAAATACACATTTGAAAGGTCTTACAAATGTATTGGTGTTACTTACAAATAAAGATTGAATTGAAGTTAGTTTCAAATGTTCTGATTTCCTTTCATGTCTTTTGTACTTTTTTGCCAGTATGGATGTAAAATGGATCTTAAATTGTTTTCATTATGGTCTTAAAAAGTTTTAAATTTGACTTGTTGAAACCTGTAGAAACCTTGTATACTACATGTTTCAATTTGCATTAAATTTCTCAACCACCAGATGGAAGTGGTGGCGAATTTAGAGTTAGACATGTATCAGCTAAGATATAGCTGGTCTCAGTAGACCTGGATATGTGGCGCCTTTTTTCATTGGACTTGGATTTCCCTACTGGAAACCATGAACAGCAAACTTCCCCCTTAAGCTGCGACTGTCGACCATAAAACCTTAAGCCTGTCGGAGAAACATTAACAATAATGTGTCTGGATGACCTAAAAGTATTGGATATGTACACAGAGTCTGTTACTACAACATTAGCATTATTAGCACTATATTGATCTGCGGTTAAAATCAATCTGGGCCTCGACTCTTGCCGATACACCTAATGTTGTTCTGCATGGGAGTGTGGATGCTTTTCTTTGGTTTGATTTCTTCATCTGGACATGCTGCTCCTAGCTAGCTCACTTCAGGAAATAAACTCTGGAATGTGAAATGTGTGTCTGACCATCACGAATCGACTGCACTATAGACTAGTCAGGACTCTCCTGGTCCATACTCCAGCTGCATGGTGCAGCTCTAAGCAGGAGGTAGAGATCCAGTTACCTACTGTCAGCGTGGATCAGAAGTTGGATCATACTGCACACTGCACACTACTTCTTGGTGCAGTGGTTTCCCTCTCTCTGTGTATATGGTTTTAATGGCTTCTTTTTGTTGACTAATCTGTTTCTTTATTGTTCTCCTGGCTGTTTCATTTTCACTCAGCTTTTTATTAAGTTTAATTTTTTATTATTAAATTTATTCTATGTGAAGAATATCTGAGTGTGTATGTTACCATGACCCCATCTTTAAGGTGTGTCTCACCTAATAGCACCTGCAGACAGTGTCAGAGGAATTATCATTACATCTGAAAAAGTTTCATCTTTGTAGTAAACTTACCAAACTTACCAATGCTGATTTTCAGTGACGAGGAAGAAAGAGAGTGTACTTTGGATTTGAAGTTCCTGTTGTTTCATGCTGTTGTTTCAGGCTGTCAGCAATCCAGCTGGTAAAAACACCTCCTCCTCATCTTCCTTCCTGTCCTTCATTGATCCAAGACTGATCCCCATATCCTCACCACCACAGAGTCCCAGTGAGTCACTTTACACTCTGACTATCTCCACACACACACACACACACACAGACACGCACACACACTGGAAATATCACCCATACTGTACAGCTCTACTGTTCTATGTCTGAAGGTAAACAAACACACCTCCTGGTTTGATGCAGATTTCCACTTTGTTTGAACTTTGATGAATTGGTTAATGTGATGGAGGGTCATGAGGTTTACTCTGTGACAGTCAGACACTGGTTCCTTTTTAATGAAGCTTTACAAACACTTTCCACAGGCAGCAAAGATGAACCTGTCAAAAGAGAGAACCACAGAAAGGGCTCAGTGGTGAATGTGAACCCTACAAACATTCGACCACAGAGTGACACTCCTGAGATCCGCAAGTACAAGAAGAAGTTCAACACTGAGGTCCTCTGTGCTGGACTGTGGGGTTTGTACTTTTTAATATTCTCTCTTAAAGAAGTAAAGATGGTGTTGGAGAAAATAGTGGTCATGAGATCTGCTGTTGTTTTAAACGATGATGTGGTTCATATATGTGGCAGGATAAGAAGCTACAGTTGCTCTGTCTGGTTTGATAGGGGTGAATCTTTTGGTGGGAACTGAGAACGGCTTGTGGCTTCTGGATCGAAGTGGTCAAGGCAAAGTCTACTCCCTCATCAGCAGGCGGAGGTTCCAGCAGATGGATGTGTTGGAAGGACTCAATGTCCTGATCACTATATCAGGTACACACTAAAATCCTGCTAAATCAATTAAACGCCCATCTATCGGATGATGATGGGTTTGAAGAAGTTTAATCTGGATTTCATAGCACAGAAACAGATCTTCTTCACATCACTCCAATCTGAGCATCTCCCTACTGTTTTTAGGACTGATTTAAAGATTAAAAAGGGACTCGCTCTTCTCTTCATCTCTGAGCTTGTATCCCTTTTGATCTGTAGTATGAGATCCTCTAGTCAGGAACATCACCTCAGACCCCTTTTCACAGAGAAGCTTTTATCTTGTGGTTTTTGATCTATTACGAGGACTGTGCCTTGAACTACATACAGCATGTTGACTCCCCTTACACAGGAAACCTCAGATTGGCTGCATTAAAACAGTATTTGACATGATTCTGATTATCTGAAGTAAACTTGTAAACCGGTTCTTAGTGTTCTCCAGTCCAGTAACATTTACATACTTTTATTTAAACACTCTCCACCTTCACCTTGCTCTTTATCTATCTACTCCAGGTAAAAAGAACAAGCTCCGTCTGTATTATCTGTCTTGGTTGAGGAATAAGATCCTACACAACGAACCAGAGGTGGAGAAGAGACAGGGCTGGAGCTCTGTAGGTGACCTAGAGGGCTGTGTGCACTACAAAGTGGGTTAGTACACAATCTCCAGAAGCAGTGTCACTGTTCTTTTTTCTACATCAAGAGGAAGATAACAGCTGTAGTTTGAGCAGAGGTTTCTGAGTGCAGGAGCAGAGTAGGAACTGAATAACTTGTGTTTCTCCGTCCTGTTTTTGCAGTGCGCTATGAGAAGATCAAGTTCTTGGTGATTGCTTTGAAGAGCGCCGTAGAGGTGTATGCATGGGCCCCAAAACCATACCACAAATTCATGGCATTCAAGGTCAGCAACATTCATACCTTCATATATATACTTTACTGTTTTGTTAGTCAGAAAAACAACATTTAAAGTAAAAAGGCTAGAGCAATAAAGAGTTCCTTGGCTCTTCCATGAGGTGGAGGTCTGAAATCACCTCCACATCAATGTAGTACATAAACAGTAATCATGTGGGTGATGGTCTCTGTGCTTTAGTAGGTCATAAAGAAGAGTCAGTGTTAATGTCAGACTGTTTTAGTTTAAACTAAATATATATAAAAGTAGGAAAATAATCAAACTGCGATTTATTTTCCTCAATATTGTGATTGCATTTAATATGCAGTTATTTTTTCAAGGTTCTCTTCTAATGTATTTTTCAACAAACACAAACAATAAATCAATCCATATTATAGAAAACGATATCAGATTTGTTAAACATAAGTTGTTAATTCTGGCAATTATCATTTTAAACAAACACACACAGGCTCTCTCTGCTCGCACACTTTCGCACACACACATGCACACGCCCCCATATACGTCATGATACTAATCTACATACCGATGGAGAGATGTAAATCAGTGTCCAAAACACAGGCGTCTATTCATTCAACTGTGCTGCCATCACTGTATTGGATGCTTTTTGCATCGTTATGCAGACGTGGTTTAAAGTTAAAGCGCTGGTCACTGGTGTTTTAGCCATTTAACTATCGTACATGGTTTTGTTTTAAGTGTTGGTAAAGGTTCGTAGTGCTACCTCCTGATATAGCAACAGTAGCACAACAGGTTCTGCACATGTTGTGCAGCAGCATCTTTTTTTGCCAAAATAAATCCACACAACTGCTGTGCTGCCTCTTTTTGGTACTAAACGTATCGCAGTGTCAGCTTTTGTAGTGGAATTAGGCCATAGTGCGACAGAGTGCAGTGTTGACTTCTCTCTCTACCTGCTCTGCTTTGCTCCGCTCGCTCGCAAGTCACGTGACCAGTCAAAATCGCAGCCTTTGCGGTTCAAAAATCGTGTTTTATCATATTGCCATGTAATCGCAAATGTAATTAATTGTTCAGCCCTATTTAGAAGGGTCTCAGTTGTAAAAAAAAAAAAAAATGCACTAACACCAATGTTTGAAAAAGTGCATTTCCAGTTTGAGGCTCTTGCTGCTGTGGAAACCTTTGGTGAAGTTTCCCTCCTGCTTTAACACATCTTTGCACATGAGGAAGAACATGCAGGGAAGCAGACTGAAAAACCCAACAGGGTCACCTCTAAAGGAAGACTCCTGCACATGCTCAGAGTCAGTCATGACACATCCAGGCTATGAGAGTCCTGCACACAGGTCCCTTGTAGGCTTGTGTCCCATTTTTTTCCTCCTCTGTGGCCTGAGCTACTTTTTCCTCCTCACTCCACCGTTGCTCCGACCCTTCAATAGTTGCCTCTCTTCACAGAAAAGAAAAAAAATGGACCATCTGGATGAAAGATGTCTTTCTTCAGATGCTACAATCTGCCAAAGGAAGTTACTAACTGACGATCAGTCTGAGAAGCAGAATTTAACATGACGTGTTCAGACTTCACCATCTGAGGTGTCTGTGTGTGTGTGTGTGTGTGTGTTTGTCTGTGTATGAATGTATTTGTCCTTATCAACCTGTCTATGTAGTCATTCAGGTCCCTGCCTCAAAAACCCCTTCTGGTGGACCTGACAGTGGAAGAAGGTCAGAGGTTGAAGGTCATCTACGGCTCACTGTCCGGTTTCCACGCCATTGACGTTGACTCTGGCACTCCATATGATCTGTACCTGCCGACACATGTAAGAGCCTGTTTCATTTCTTATTGTGTCATAGATCTGCTTGTTTGTCTTGTCAGTCTAAAAGGGTCTTAATGTGACTTATATCAGGTTGATACATGAAAGAAAGTCTTCAGAGCAGTCTGTGAGCTCCAGAACGCAACAAGAAAAACTGTCTGTGCAACTGAAAATACAAACGTTTTCACCCTCTAACAATGAAAGTGCAGGACACTGTCTGTGGAACAGAATATCAGTGATTACTTTTAATGTACTGTAAACTTAGAGGGGACTTCTGATCCAGCACATTGCTGGTGAGTGAAGTACAAACTACAGCAGGGCACAGTCACTGCAAACTCAGACTGGATGTTATGTTGTACCTATTCTTACTTCTCCACACTGAGGAACAGGTAATATTGAGCAAACACATTAGTGAAGATATTTTGGACCTCTCTGAGGTGGAACAGTCCGGGTATTCATGCTGGATCTCTCTACTCCTCATGCTATCAGCAGCTGTTATCTTTCTGTTGAACCATTTTTATGTAACTCCGGCAGATCTCTGATGATGCACTCTCCCTCCCTCTCCACCCCCACAGCCTCTTACTCACTGTCTTGCAGGTCTAAGTCATTTCTCAGCTTCATTCCTCTTGTTTCTCTCTTTCTCTACCCCTATTTCATCTCCATACACTAAGGTTATTACCATTAGCTTGGCCTTTTCCATCCCTGTCTTTTGTCCTTCTCACTCACTCTCAGTCAGACAGTATGACATGTTAATTTGCTTTTTCCATCTCTCTATAGTCCTTCATCTGTCTCTATGTCTTTCCTCCTCTCTTAATTGTTGTTTTCTATTTAGCCTGTAAGCAGGTAGAGCTGATGCTGACTGTTGTGATTCATGCTGGTCTGTTCTGGTCCTTAAAGCAAGAGTCATGAAGGTGCTTGATGGCTTCATAGTGCACATGGACAACAGTCAGTATCACTATTCTCACCTTCAGTCAATTAAAGGCGCAGCAAACACACCAGTATAGGCCTGGGCGATTTGGCAAAAAAAATGATCACAATATATTTTGTCATATCATCCGATCCTGATTATTATCACTTTTTTTTAAAAACTGCAATTTTAAAGCATCTGTACTAAAAACTAAAAAAAACTAGAGATTAGTTCAACATTTTATTAACATACAAAGTAAATATGAAAGAGTAAATATGAAAAATTTTCAAAGAAAATTGAATAAGATAAACTTAGAAAAAATATAAAAACCATTTTAACTCAACAGCACAACAAATGTAATACAGTGAATTAGTTTACAGTACTGAGTGTTTTTACAGGTATGCAAGACCCAAAATAAACAAATTGCCCCTTCAAGGGATAATGAAGACACCTTAAAATATAAACATTAGATGATGTAAACGTAAATGATACCATTAGTGCTTTGGTCTAATGGCTGCACTGCTGGTTGTGACTAAACTGCTAATGCTACTCGTGCCGTCAGCAGTGGCAGGCTGTGCAGACTCCGCTCCATTTTCATGCTTTCCACATAATCACGCAGGAAGAACTTCAAATGATTAAACAGATCTGTTGTGTTGCCAGTTCTTGAGGGCACCGACTGCCAACATACCTTGCACATCGGCTTCATTGCTAGACGTCAGTTTGGAGATACCCGAACCACCACCGCACAATCGACGTTGAATAACTTTTCTTCTCAACAATGACATCATTAAAGGATGACTCAAAGTCATGGCTGACATCTATTTTGCCGCCTCAGCTCTGCGTTTAGCTCCATGTTTGGTCATTCTGTTTACTTCTCCAGCAACTTACAGAAGTGAACAGGAAAAGCTCGACTCTGATTGGCGCACATTTCCTCTATGTTTGATTGAGTAAATATGCTCACAGCGATCACCATGATCGAACTGAAATTTAGCACGATTAATCACGATCATATAATCGCCCAGCATACACTTCTGTGGCTGAATATAAGAAGTATAACCCATTAGGATCAGGGCCGAGTTTGTAGATCCTGAATGTGAAAAGCAGCTTTCCCTGAGTTATAATGACTTGTAAAGGTTGGTTTAAAAAAGGCTTGTGCAAATGAATGTGCCACTTTAACAGTGATCCAAACACCCACTGCTGATAGAGTTAAAGATAAAGTAGTTCATTTTCCTCTCGTCCTCTCCATGTGGGCACATAAGGCTCACTGCAGTCTCTGGTGAGTCATGCTCATATTCAGATGTAGAAATATCCTGTTAGAAATGTTTAAACAATAAGAAGTGGGGGGGTTAGATGTCCCAAATATTAACCCTTGATACTCCTCTGTTTTAGGAGAGAAGTAGGTTCATCAATAAGGTCTGCTCCTTTCTCTATGTTGACTTTTATGATCTCCACACCTGTCTCTCTGATATCCAGATGCTCTCACCTGAACTAGTCTGGCCTCTTTAGTGTGTGTATTTGCCGTCATACTGGCAGAATGGGTCCATCCAAAACTAAAGGAGGGGACAAACATGTAAAGGAGGAAAAAGCTCTAAAAATACGCCCCTGCTGTCCTCCTTCTGCAGTGATCATTATCTCTGTGTGTCCTGACCTGCTTTCAGCCTCAGCCGAGTTTTCTTCCCTCACTGTTCCTGCCGTATATGAAGCGAGCGAGCGCTGAGCTGCCTCCTACACTCGTGCCTTACACTGCTGCTGCTACAACATCATCATCATCAACCTCTCTGGTCCAGCTGCGCCTGTATTTTTCTGCTTTCACATCTTTCGTCTTCTTTCTCACACACTCACAGCTACTCAGCCCTCCGAGCCCACACACCCTCACTCGGACACCTGTTTAGTTTGCTGTATTGGACCACTTTGCGGACACTTTATAAACCGGGACGGTCTTGGAAACTGTTAATCTGGACTCTGACAGCACTCGAACATCACACAGTCACTTTCAAACACAATGCATCCCTCTCCTCCGTAGAAACTCATAACAAACACACAAGCTTCTTCCATGTTTACCTGCAAACTGTGTAAAATGCTGATTCCAAGGCAGAGGATTAAGATTGCTTTGCGCCTGTGGATGCCTGTGCTGATGCTCCGGATCGTGGTGGCTCAGACTCTGGTAATGTATGAAACACACTTGTGGAGGACATCAGTCCCTCTTTTTGGTAGAGTAGAAGAAGGAAATGTTTGACTCTGGTATTTTCTGCATTGATCTTTATTTATCTGGATGTTCGCTTTGTAAAATGAATCATACATGAACATGTCTCAGCTGATGTGTTTAAACAGTTTCAGCCTGTCATTGAGCTGCTCAGACATGTAACTGAACTAATCTGGGTGTGATTGAAATGATGGGCATGAGTTAAGGACCGTCTTTGGTTTAAAATCAGACATCAAGTTTTAGCCTCTTGTTTTCCAGCAGTATCTCTTTGTGGCTGAGCAACAATCAGTGTGTCTTTACTCTGGATTCGCAAACAAATCACCAAAAAAACAGCCTTAACTTCTCAGAAAAACTCCAGAGTGAATATTTTATAACTCTGTAGAGATTATCAACAGTTCTTTTCACCTTCATGAGTGTCTACAAGCCCTTTTAAAGTTTCACTGTGTGATAATAGAAGTTTAGCAGCATCTAGCTCTCAGTTTCTGTATTTAAATGCTCCCTTACTCACCCCTCCTGCCAGTGGAGCGATGGTTTTTATTGAGGTCAAATAGCTCCTGTGATGTATGAGAGGTGTCAACACACTTTCTTCCATCTACAAGAAACGCTCTTCTTCTTTATCATCTTCTTCTTGGTGAAGGGACAACTTTCTTTTTCCTTGCGCGCTACTGCGTGATAGTTTGGGATTGTGTTTTCTGTGTGTTTCATCCTTTCCTCGTGGTGAGGATCGAGTCTCCTGAGATGCTGCTGGTTCTCTGAGACTTGGAGTGAGGCTAGTGCCGCCATATCGCTCCACAGTGGAGCAGGTGCTGCTGGCTGTATGCCTCCTACATGACCAAAGCGGTGATGGTTGTTTTCATGAAGAGTTAGTTGAAGTCTGCCTGTGATAGTTTCATCGTGTCAGGAGTTCTCCATTCATTCCTAATGTAGCTGAAGCAGGAGCTGCGGCGTTTCAATAAGGTAGTTTTTGCACAGTGGGTCTGGGCTGCAAGGATGAAAAGTTCAAGCATGTTCAGTCTCTATGGAGAGAGTTTTTATGTTTCTTGACTCTCCAAATTAGAAAGCTAAAGAAACTTTAGTCCCAGCTTACTTAACCTTAGAGACACAGATGCATCGACCAGCTTCCACTTCAGTCTGGAAAGAATTGTGGCCCAGAAATACATGCTGTGTCTCCGTCTGATGAGAGGGTGACATGTGAACCAGTTGAGATAAGTGATGTTCTGATAGTCAATAACCCAGTTGCTGCATCTTTGTGGCTCTTACTCCAAGTGCTTGTTCCTCTACCAAGCCTCATGGAATCGACTCCTCTTGGGTCACTGTAGAAACCTGTTTCATTGAGGCTGGTTTTGGTGAAGCTGGACCACCTTACAGAAATGTCAGTTTAGAGGCTGGCTGTAGTGTTGGGCATGAGGTCAACCAGAGTGCTGCAGAGTCTGGTAGATGAAGGGTGGTTTTTGCTCAGTTCCAAGTTTTGGCCAACTAATGGAGTGAGAATATGTTCTCCCTTACTTGAGAGTGGATTCTACTGTGGGGAAATGGAGAATGGCTTTTATCTTTGAAGGGGACTTTCAGCTCTTGCAGTTGTCCAGCTGAAAAAAAGTGCTGAACCTTCACTCTCTCAAGGTAGTCCAAATGGACAGAGGTGTTTGGCACAAACTTGCCCCATAAAGGCAGGTCCTATATGAACCTCCTGTTGAGAAGCAGCTGGCTGATATCCAGTGGAGGATTAAAGGTGGGGTAGGCAGGATCTGAGGAAGTGCAAGTTTTTGGGAGAAATCTTCAATGGAAACACGACTCCAGCAACACCCACCCACAAACAGACGCTCCTGCTCACTCGTATCGTTTCAGTTAAATTTAGATATAATGCAGATAAATACTTCAGATGATTACAAATGGGGCCAAGTCAACATGAAAGTAAACAGCATTGGTGCTACTGTAGATGCCAACAGACTAACAGCAAACACAATGTTTGCAGGACTTCTACAACTAGCATAAAGTGACATAGTCCAGGACCCGAGGTAAACAGTTTAGCGGCGCTACAACACACAGCAGGTCCGTTTAACAAGAAACACTTCTGTTACAGACACTTGGCTTACTTTGTTAAAGCGGGTTACCTGTCCAGCAGAAAGGTTACAGGGTCCGTAAGATCCCGAAGCGTCCCAATCGTTGATGCTGATGTTGACCTGGCTTCTTAGCTCTTGTCTGAGTGGTCTACCTGCATTTTAAGCGCCGTTATTCCGCCCGAGTTTATGGTATTTACTTTGTTTTCTTGCTTGTGTTTTCCGTACTTTCTGGTTGGTTTCTACTGTCCGATGTTGTTGCACACTAACTTTGTTTGGGCTCGTGAACATTATTGGAGGACGTGGAGCTGGTCTCACAACATGAGGGAGCAGCGTCTTCCCCACAACTAATCAGGTTGGGGGAGGTGAAGAACGGCTTTGTTTACAGTCAGAAAGAGCGGGCCGCTCAAAATTTTTAAAATGTTGACTACACAGACATAATAAAACACAGTGACATTGTTATATTCCCAAATATCATCAATAACTAATAGCTATTGACTTATATTTAAAACCTTTTTGTATATACACCACAAAAAAAGATACTTCTTTAACTGGTTCCTGCATACTCCACCTATAAATGAAGCTCCAAACAGAAACAGAGCTTTCTTAAATCTGTGCACTGAGCAGGGCTGTCAGCTAGATTATTTAGTACTGTTCCATCCCCGACTGGCTGGTCTTTCCAAGGTGCTGCAGGAATGGGTTGGTAGGGTGCAAGTGGAGGTTTTTTTTCTGTACCCTTGTTTTTCTCGAATGATAGTAGTTATAGTCATGTATGGATCATTGAGGGGAAGTCTGTGAGCGGAGAGATCACATATTGATCAATGAAAGCAGGATGGAGACTTTCAAAGACATGAGATTTAAATCAAGTGAATGAGAAGAACTTTTTTAGCAATGGTGATATCTATCTGAGTACGAATGTCACATTTGTGGGAGGAAGATTCAAGATTGAGAAGATGAAGTTAATATATTTAACAGGGTGATACTCTGTCTCCACTTACCCTCTGCCTCATATCAGCAGTAGATTATTATAGATCATTATAATTGTTTTTAAACAAACCAAATACAAAAAGACTTCAGCACCCACAACAACATGGAGTCCTTGTAATAGAGATGAATGACAGCACTGATAAATGCTGAAGCGTGTTCATTTCTTCAAGCAGCTGTCATCTTTATCTCTAAAGGATCCTGTTTCATTGTGTGTGAGTACCTTGAGTCAGTATTCGGTGACTTTAAGAGTCAGCTCTTTGACTTGTGTAGGAACCAACACCCAACATCTGGACCTGTAAATCACTGAACAGTTTCTAAATCACAGCAGTGAGGGCTTCTCAGTCAGTCAGTAAATGAGTGTGTTTCTGTTTCACAGATCCAAGGCTCTATTCATCCCCACGCCGTTATCATTCTGCCAAACAGCGCTGGAACAGAGGTTTTGGTTTGCTATGAAGATGAGGGTGTCTATATTGACACCTATGGCCGTATCACCAAGGACACCGTGCTGCAGTGGGGGGAAATGCCTGCATCAGTCGGTAAGTATTGACCTCTAAAGATGATGGAACTTGAGGAGAAAAGTGTAATTGTTCAAGTTGACCTGACTTGAATGTTGCCAGACTGAAGTGAACATGGGTATTTACTCATGGATACCTCAGTTCTTCAGACTATTGTTTTCTATATTCACTGTCTGTGTTATTTACATCTATCTCTCTTTCTCTGTGTTCCCCTGTGAAGCCTACCTTCAGTCTAACCAGGTGATGGGATGGGGAGAGAAGGCCATCGAGCTGAGATCAGCCAACACTGGGAACCTGGAGGGAGTCTTTATGCATAAGAAGGCCCAGAAACTCAAGTTCTTGTGTGAAAGAAATGACAAGGTGAATAGACATTTTACGGAAACACAACGTTGAAACAAAACATGCCAAATATTTCTTGGGCAAGACAATTGACCTCACCTGCCCCCCTGCTGGCTGCATCCAGTGGTGTTTGAATGGGATTAGTCAAAACTGATTGACTCTGTATATCGTCACCCTATTAAAATAATGGCTGAAGTCATTTTTTGACAAAAATGAGTTTTTTGGCCTAAATCATGAGATGATTTACACATTTTTGTCAAAAAATGACTTAGGCCATTATTTTAATAAGGTGACGATATATTAGCCATCATCTGTGAATGAATGTGGTGTGAATGGGTGAATGAGACTTAAAATCATAAAAAGCTTTGAGAGGTCTGAAGAAACTAGGGAAAGCTCTCCAATATAGTCTTTTACCCTTAAACATCATGCAGTATAGAATAAGTGAAATAGATGCCCATATTTGCCCATAGATTCCCAGTCTGTCCGTTGTGTCCTTGGGCAAAACACTTAACCCACCTTGCTCCCAGTGTGTGTCCTCCACTGGTGTGTGATTGTGAGTGATGTTTGGTGGTGGTTGGAGAGGCTGTAGGTGCAAACTAACAGCCATGTTTCTGTCAGTCTGCCCCAGGGCAGCTGTGACGACTGAGGTAGTTTACCACCACCAAGGTGTGACTGTGTGAGCGAATGAATGAATGATGGATCCGATGTAAAGCGCTTTGAGGGTCTCTGATAAACCGCTATATGAAATCTGATGCATTATACTTTTATTATCATATATCATAATCACAAAATAAAGAAAATGACATGTTTGCATTACTATACTGTATGGATTGATCCTGCACCATTATCATGAGTTACTCCTTGGTGCATCTCTCTGTGATTGCAGGTCTTCTTCGCCTCGGTGCAGTCAGGAGGCAGCAGTCAGATTTACTTCATGACTCTGGGTCAGAACTCACTTTTCAACTGGTAACCAGACATGTCAGTCTTGGATCAGCTGTTCATGTCTGCCAACATGTGTGTGTGTTCACCTGGTGAAGCCTTTTTATAGACGTGCTGACTGATGTTCCCATAGCGAATGGCACACAACGTACAAAGATCAACTGACAACATACAGGGATCAACTCCAGACTGCACCTTTATTCATGTTTGATTTCATATTCCTGCACATGGATCAGTGGTTTGCATAGATACTAAAAAAGGGAGTTGGAGTCCTTCAGCTAGACCTGATGAAAGCCTGAATAAAGCCAGTAAGGGCTTTAGCTCAGTGGATATGTTGAAGGCACAACTCTCAGTGTCAGCACATGTGCTTCTCACTTGCTATGAAGGAACTGTCTCATGTGGGAACGCCAGAGCTTCCTGTCCGGCAGTGAACCATTACTGCACCATCTTTACAAAGATCTGGACCTGGTGTATCCACATCACCAGTGTGGAACATCTGCTCTCCACTGCTCCTCATGTGTGTGAATGGCAGTGGCTTCCATTTTTCTCCGGAGGATCTGGGATCACTTTATTCCATACCAAATAATGATGTGCTCAGCTAACCACCCACTAGCTCATACATTCACACTGCCTGCCTGTGTTTCTCTGGATCATCTGCTCCATTTTTTGGGAGGGTGAAACAATGAGAATGTATTTCTCAAAGCACGGGCCAGAGGAGTGAAAGTCTTAGATTATCCATCAGAAGTTCCACCAGTCATGGACATCCTTGGAAGTACATGTGCTGTATACATCCCAGAGTTCATATGTGTTTCTGTTTTCCTGAATGATTGTCTTGAATCATTTCCTCAGTACCTCAGAAGTGTTATTTATGAAGGACCCCAACAAAGTGGGTGCTGCCTCATCTGTAGTTTGTTTCTTTGTAGCATAACAGCATCATACACACTCTAACCAGGAGGTTCACGGAAACGTAGATCAGGACAGTACACATCCAAAATCACCATCCATCCAGTCAGTCAATAGTGTTTAAGAGTATCAGAACTTTATATAGAGTCATTTAACCTTTAAAGTCATGAAATAATAGTGATGATTAAACTGTAAATATAGTTAAAATATAAGGATAAGGATATAAGGATAAGAGCACCTATGCTCCTTGTTCACATCACCTGCCAGTTAAGGACTGATCTCTTATTGGTAAACTCAGTGAAGTGAGTTGAAATGTTAAATTAAATAAATCTCTGAGAGTCCATACTGAGCCGTCATCAGACCTGAAGGTTATAGGACAACAAAATAAGAAATAAAGAACGATTCAATAGAATCATCAGAGATCTGTCGAGTCCTTTTATTCAAAATCCTCAAAGATAAGTCTCAAACCCCCGAAACAAACTTGAGTAAAGTTAACATTGGCTTTGATTAATCTAGTCTAATTTTGTTTTTCAGAAATTTACTATCAAGAGAAAGAAGCAATTTTCCCTAAAACTGACCCTCTTCCAAACCAGGTTTCAGAGGGGTGAAAAATGCTGATCAGACCATCACATCAACTCAGGGCTGAAACAACTCCTCTAGGAATAATGTGTCTCTTTAAATCATATAATAGTTTTCTGGTGTTCAAATAGCCAAAAGCATCTATACTTGCATCATATAGCAGTAGTTTTATTTAGGGATTTTAAAGCGTTTGAAGTGTCACTGCTAATGCGGTTTGGTTTGTGTCCTGTGTAGCTCTTCTTTTAAATGTCGGGCTGTTCAAATCTGTGACAAATGTTGTTTAATATGAAGAAATACCAGAGTTAGCTTTAGTTGTTATTGCAGACTTATAGCAGCTGGTTCTGTGAAAAAAAAACTTCAAACTGGAAAATGAACTTTCTTATCTTAGCCATTAAATGTTCTGAGAGTATTTGAGTGTGAGCAAATCAGGCGACATCTCCAAGTCCCGGAAGGGTCCACTGTGGTTCAGTACACGGCTTAGTTTAACATATGTTCCCCGGGTCACATACAACAAAAGCACATCTGGGAATAACCGACCTGTGAGAGGTCTCTGAACTTGGTTCTGTTAACACAGTCCTGTTCAAAACATAGGTACACATGCCTACAGCAGGTTTTTCCTTATTCACAGGTTTTTCTGTTGTGTAAAGTTTCAGCCCTCAGACCGAAACTAGACTGGTCAAAACCAAAAAAGCAAGTCAGTATTCCAAATGTATTTTTCATGTCTGTCACAAGTGTTTAGTTCATGTATCTCCACTGAAGAATACTGACATAGATTTATTTAGATTTACTATGTTTTTGAGTTTTTTTTCTTGATGAAGTATGTGAGTTTTAAAATGGTAACAAGTGGAGTCAGCAAAGTAGCAACAGGTTTCACTTTATTCCCGAGAGAGATCCTGGCTATTTAAGGGTCGACTGTAGAGGAGACCAGAACAGCTCTGTATTTCCTTGTCTGTGGTCTCTGTGTTATGTTTGAAGTTCATCACTGACATGGTGTTTATGAGCACATGTCAGTGTACTGGGCCACTGGACCGCTTTCATTTTGGTTGACGTCCTGCAGTGAAAACCAGATAAGGATGCTGTCATGGTTTCATTTCCTGCCCCTGTCCTATAAAGCAATAACCCCGATATATTGTCCTGGAGCATTAGTATCACTCTGATTTTGTCCATGGGTTTGGACTTTGTCTCGTGTATTGAAGGAGTCCCAAAATGGGTATTGAATGAAAGTTGGCCTCTTCTTGGTTCTTGGTCGTAACTACAAACAGATTGTCATTTAGTTTGAACTTGCCGCCGCTATAGTCACCTGTTATTTTAAATAATCCACCTCATACATCCCGTTCATATCATTTGTTTTGCTTTGGGTTTTTTTTCCTGCATCCTGGTATAGGACAAGACAGAGACCAGTTCTGTTTAAAGCTAACCAGGCTAGTGTTACACCCAATGGTGTGTTAAAGATCTAGGTGAGTTTGTCTGTTATTTAGAGTTTGTTGTTAGATACAGAGAAAGGGAGCTCAGTGCACCTCCACCAGGTGAAAAGAGAAGAAATCCCTTTTCCACAGCAGCAGTGACTCACATCCAAATCTGTTTCACTTTGTCACCCTGTCTCTGCTGCCTTCTAACTGCCTTCTTCCATGCACCCACCATAAGCTGCAGGTAACACCTGACAAGGTCACAACTGACAAGGTCATAGCTGACAAAGTTGGACTACAGAAACAAACAGCAGAATGTACTAGATGGTGTCTCAGTTATAATGATTGAGTTTTATCTCCTGAAGTAGATTTGACATTGTTTTTCTACTGAAATCGCCTCAAAATGATTGTGCTGCCTGTATCTGCAAAAAAGTCTGATGATGAGTTTTGGAGCTCTAAAGAAACGGTTTGTTTGTGTGTGAAGATGATTGTCTCTTTACAGAATTCAAACTGGTCTTTGGTGGTTCACAGAAGAGACATGGATATGGCTATAAGTCTGAAAATTCAGTGTTTTTAGTTTAGTCTTATCGGTTCAACAGCCCATGGTCTCAAACCTCCTGATCAGTAAACTGAACCTGAGAGTCTTATAAGACTGAGTAAGTAGCATTCACGAGGAAGTGCCGAACTGCAGTCTGAGGTGAGGATGTAAAGATGATGTTGGTAATGATGGAGAGACGGACAGAAGTGAGGATGTACAGAAAGTGGACAACAGGTGGACTAAACAGACGTTAAAGATGGAGATTTGTTCTTTTACTTTAATTAATCTCATTGTAAAGCACCCATATAGGCAGATAATGTCTGTTTCAGGGGGATTTTTCTCTAAATTAAAAATATTAGCTGACAGTTTAGACGATCTATTTTCATGGTTAACACTCCAGCTGCTCTCAGTCTGGAGCTGAAGATAAAGATGTAAATAGGCGTGAATAAGAGGTGAAATATAAATAAGATACCAAAATATTACACAGATCTATTCATTTATATTTTAGAAGCTGTATTACCATTGACTGTTTCAGTTCTGTAGCATTTCAGGTTGTTTTTTTTTTTTCTGTTGAATTTTTGCACTGGACCTATGTTAAATGTTTAATTTACTGTACCTGCTCTGCTTTGAGATGAACATGCACTTACTGAGGCATAAAACGGAGAAAACAATAAACATGTGTAAACAGACTGTGCTGTTTCCTCTTCTTGGTTTTTTTTATAACAGACACACTGGCAGTAGCTCAGGAGGTAGAGCAATCATCCAATAACTGGGAGGTTGGAGGTTTGATTCCACCCTGTCCTGAGTCTGTCCGTTGTGTCCTTAGGCAAGACACTTAACCTGCCTTTCTCCCAGTGTGTGTCCTCCACTGGTGTATGATTGTGAGTGTTGTGTGGTGGTGGTGGGAGAGGCTGTAGGTGCAAACTAACAGCTACGTTTCCGTCAGTCTGCCCCAGGGCAGCTGTGACTACTGTGAGCGTATAAATGATGTATCCAATGTAAAGCGCTTTGAGGGTCTCTGATAAAACGCTACATAAAATCTGATGCATTATACTAATAATAATAACGATAATAATAATAATAATAATAATAATAATGATGATGATGATGATGATGATGATGATGATGATGATGATGATAATAATAATAATAATAATAATAATAATAATAATTATTATTATTATTATTATTATTATTATTATTATTATTATTGTTGTTGTTATTATTATTATTATATAATAATAATAATAATTATTATTATTATTATTATTATTATTATTATTATTATTATTATTATTATTATTATTATTATTATTATTATTATTATTACACTTAGGTTTGATCAACAGTCTGTCAGTGACACCCAGGATGTCTCTGGCTGATTGATTTTGGTCTAAGCCTGACCAAACTGTTTTGTTCTGATTGTGCTGAGATTTGTCTGTACTTCAGTCTTTTTACACCACCATCCAAAGTTTCTATTCTAACCATACAGTAGATTCCTTTCCATCTACCTGACAGCATGTCTCAGCTGTTAAACTCTTACTCTTTTGAAGATGTATCTCCTGGCTGTGTAGGTATGTGTTTATTTACCGCACCATAAGTAGGTGACTGAAGTGGATGTAGCCCCCTTAGTTTAAAAGTGCAGCTCATTTGAGAGTAACTTGAATCCAGGTTCACTTCAGCCAGCAGAGCTGACTCCACTGGTGAAAGGACTGAAGGACTGAATTCTAGTCTTTTTAGGAGGGTGGCTACTCATCATTTCCTTGATCACATCAGCAGTATCATCCAGCTCTAGTTCAGACTGTTGACTAGTCCAAACCTTTGACTTTCTTCTACAGCCTCCTGGTCTGTTTGATCTGTTAAATACTAAAGCCCACCTCCCTCTTCGTCTGTCGGCCTTGCTCTCAGTTCCAGTGGTCTCGTATATCCACGGAAGACTCAGTGGCACCAGTGACTGGTCTTGGATGAAATTATGTCATTGAGCGTCCACACCTTTGAGTCAAAACTATATGTGCACATTTGCTTCATGTAGACTTGGAGATGGTGCCTCCAAGTCTACATGCTTGCCTATGATTGGTTTACGCTGATGTTTCCTGTTAATTCTACCGAAGTCAGAAACAGTCCTCTGCCCGGATTCGAGCCTCACAGCCGTCATCTTTGAATGGAGGCTCTGCATTGAGTTTGTCACTGTTGATGAACACTATACTCTGCTCTAAATTTGTCCTGTTACCCCTCTGACTGAAACCCTCAACACCCCTCACCCCCCCCCCCACCGACCCCCCACCAGCCTCAGATTCCCTCCTAACCCAATTCCACAAACACAACCCCCCTCAGCACTCACACTTGCTCCTGTCTGTGTGTTCGTGTGTAAATGTGTGCGTCAGCTCGCCCTGAGTGTGGAGAGCAGGCATCTGGTAATCAAGCCATGACTGGCAACCTCCCTGTCACATAGCAGTTCAGCATTCAGTATTTGGATCATTCACACTTCTTTGGATCAGCACATGTGTTGTTCTTTGTCAGCCTGTTTGGAAAAGAACAGACAGGTAAGGTGGGGCATATTTTGGTTCATGTTTTCTCCGGATGACATCATGTGTTGAGGGTACAGGCCTGCATGAGCATGCACATGACTTAATATTACTATACTAATATTAGAACTCCAGCGTACTCCAAATATGATGCTACAAATCTTACAGGGCCCTCTCTAGCACAGAGTGAAAGAACCTGTTTCATCTGCTTTTACTGAAGGGTTAAAATGACAGAGACACTGGACATGGTTAAAATATGTCTGAGTTAGGCTCAGAGAAGTCCACTAAAGGACCATCAGCTGCCTCGGAGTAACTGAAGAGAGAAAGAGAGAGAGAGGGCAGTCAGGAAGAAGACCACAGTGTGAGGCTACACTTATATGCTGTGTCATCTATCTATCTATCTATCTATCTATCTATCTATCTATCTATCTATCTATCTATCTATCTATCTATCTATCTATCTATCTATCTATCTATCTATCTATCTATCTATCTATCTATCTATCTATCTATCTATCTATGACTTCATATAGGTGAATACATAGCACTGATATTGATCCAGTGATAGGATTAGAAGGTTCATCTGGAGGTATATCTTCCTGTACTCTATTATTTCTGTGACTGTGGCTGTTGTGTTGTTTCTCGGTCATATTACAATCATTTCTGAACACCCGTCTTTGCCATCCGTCTAATAATACATTAGTGCGTGAGCATCTGTTAGAGATGCTAAAGCAAATACCTGCGGCTCTGCTAATACCAGAGCTTCAAAATGTGGATCTGAAATCTGTGACATCCTTCAGAGAGCATGAGTGGGAAAAAGTATGTTGGTTATATATCCAGCTGGGTGAGGCAACCAAACACTTAGAAGCCATGGCTGAGTGGGCAGTAGAGAGAGAGAGAGAGGGTGTGTGTGTGCGTGTGTGTCACAGTGGAAGCCTTGCATGCTTGTGTGACGCTGTACTCAGCTGCTGAGCCCTGATTGGTGAAAATAGAAATCAACTGACCAAGTGTTGGCTAAATCGGTCCCTCTAGCAGACCAGTGGAGGAGTCAGAGGACTCGGGGTGTTGGAGGTGGAGGGTTTATGGGTTTTTGGGAGTTACCTTTCTATCATGTTCAAGAGTCACAGTGTTGCATCAGGGAGGAAATGTGTCGTTAAATCTGTTCTGTGTTGTTTGGGTTGATTTCAAGATCGTTAGCCAGTTTGTACTTATCAAGTCAAATACCTGAACATCTACCTGATGAGTTTGTTTAAGTATTTGATGACTCATGGTCCCTACAGAGAAATCTACGCTCCTGGGTGAATGACTTCTATGTTATCACACCATTACCAGACAAACATGACTCATCTGGGGAGATCTGGAATAAATCCCCACCAAAACTTTGTATTCACTGCTAATAAGCACATGAAAATACACTGACCTACTGAACGGAGGTCAGAAACTGACCGACGGGAAGGAAAACAGAGATTCCTCAAGCAATTTATTCACAACAGACTCTTTCTTAGTCTTCTCTTTCTTACTCCTCTTGTTCTTATTCTTGAATTCTAGAAAAAATGTCCACAGGGTCAGATGAACTGAAGGTCAAAGACTGTGTGTCATCTTTGGAGAACGTAATGTGCTGTGAAGCATATCATAGGACCGCTAACAGTAAAACATCTCTGCAGTGATTCAGTCACAGCTCTGTCAGTTGTTTCTAATGAGAAATGTTTATTGATTATTAATGGTCACTTTTCCCCAGCCTCCATTCAGAGCTATGGTCTGTTTAGTTTTCCAGATATGTACGTATATGGTGGATCAAGTGTAGACTACCAGACAGCAGTTTCTCAACATTAGAGGATCGTTAATACTTTTGAAAGTGCCGCTTGCTGCTGCATGTGAGATGCTGTGCTGCTATATTACAATTAAGGAAGAGCATTTAGACTTATGTAACGGATAACTGCTGATTTCAACTTGACCCTGCTGCTGTGCTAAATCTGAACCCAGCTGAGAGCTGCTGGTGGCTGAAGTCTTCATGGTGTTGAATGAAGAGCTGGAATTACACAGTGGGTGGTTTGTTTAAATTTAACAAGGTGAATTGCGGGGTTGGGATCGGTATTAGATCCCTCCTCTCCTCTATGCAAAGCTGGACTTCACCAGTCAGGCCTGATGACAGAGTCTGTTGGCAGAATCCATAACAGGGTTTAATGAATAATAACAAACCATTAATAGATTAAGGGGAAGGTTGTAACATGGGGAGGCTTGTAAACAAGAGCATGTGGGTTCCACAGAGTAAAATTAAAGAGGTCATTCATATGACGAAGACCATATTCTAATTACATGTTATTGCACTATTGAAGGCACAATCATAAAACTAATATTAAACTGTAGTGTCTCTCAAAAAGTGCTTCAACCATCTCCGATTAATCTTTTTTAATATTGAACATATTTCAGCGAGCTGCCAGAGTGTGACTGTTTGAAAAAGACCAGAGAAGGTCCCAAAGAAGGGCTCCAAATGATAACAGTAATAATGTATCAATGACAGATTGATTTGATGTGTATGTTGATCTTTGACCCATCTGTAAACATGCCGCAGCTGGCTCTGTGATCTATACTGCAGACGACTCCGTGGGGACTTTCTGATGTAGTATTAACAAGGTACACACTGAAACAACAGCAGTAATTATGCCATTGATAACATACTAAAGCATGTTCCCTTGAGGTCATGTGACTGTAACAATCACATTTCACTGATCTGAGCTGAAGTAGATAAGCTTCTCTGCTATATGAAGAAATTCAACATTAATGTATAAATGTTTATGACTACAACTACATCTCATTTATATCTACTTATTTCATATTTGTTATGGATATAGACTATTAAGGTTTGTTCTTTTAGACCAGTCCACAGACGCCCCGCACAGACACATGCTAACACATCCACTCACATCCCAAGACAAAGTGTGTTTGAGTGACGGTTACTTACATATAGATTATTATGGACTGCCCTTCTATCTAAATTATAGATTATTTATATTTAATAATCTAGTAAACCCCTTTTTGAATATTGTTTGAATGCTGTGGCCTCCGTCCTGCTATGTGTTACAATCCACACTGATAGTGGGTTACCATCACTAAAGGACATCATGTATTTGACACCAGTTCAGTAGTCCCAAGATCTTCTTATAAAGATTTGAATGTGTGTGATTTTGGTTAACAGTGAAGACCTCGAAATTTAAAATTCAGTGAGTTACAGGTGTTAAAAAAAAAAAAAAAAACAATACGGGTTGTGGCTCAGTGGTAGAGTCAGGGGTTTGATCCCAGGGCTGTCCACATGCTGAAGTGTCCTTGACTCCACCCGCTGGCTGAGCCTGGTGGTGTGTGAATGAGATTAGTCAAAAACTGATGGACTCTGTACATATCAGCCTCTGCCATCACCATGTGAATGGATGAATGAGACATGTGATGTAAAAGAGCTTTGAGCGGTCAGAAGACTAGAGGCAGGTACAAACACAGTATATTTACCACTTGCCATATCTGGTTTACCCATCTATGTCTCTCTGTTTGTTATGAAGCATTTCCAGGGTACAAAATGTTGTGTCTGTACGAAACAGATCACATGATACTTTTGAGATTCAGACTAAAATAAGGTGAGAAAGTTAAAGAATGAGCAGTTTTACAATCTTGTAAATGTTTACTGAGTGTAAAAGTAATACAGAGGTCAAGGTTTCTGATGAATTAGTGTTCATACCTTAAAAGAAAAGTTTGAAGAAGTTTTGAAAGTTACTGAAATGATTCTACTGTTCTGTCTTTCTCCCATACTGGTGATGAACAGACTTGATGATTGATTTATAGTATATGTTGCACAATATACTATTTATGTACAGCACTTTGTTCAGCTGTGGTTGTTTTAAAGTGCTTTACAAATGAAGTTGAGTTGAGAATAAATTGTGCATTTGTTTAAGGGTTGAGATCCAATAAAGTTACTTTCTATGGCAGAGTTTAAACACATCAGTCTACTGTGGGGGAAGCTTGTACTTCTTTATACTCCTGGGTAGAGAAAGCAAAAGTAGTCAGATAATTAAAATCCATTTAGTAAAGGACCCACAACTGCCTCATACTGAATGTTATCAAGTAGGGTTGGTGTTGAGCATGGAGACTTTGGTCATTAACGTCTGGTTTAACTTTTTAACAGACTGAAGGACAGGTGAGCAAAGGTATGCACAAGTTCTGTTAACCAACCACAACAAGTACACGCTTCTTTTGACAGAGTTTTACATACATTTCTAAAGACAAGTGTTTCAAAGTTTAAAGAGCAAACAATGATAACAACTGTCTCAGCTCAGCAAGTGTTGGACTTTGTTAAACATGGGTCAAGATGGTAAACAAAAATATTATTAAATTATTCATGATTATTATAATAAGGGATTAAAGGAGTCCCTCAGTAACTCCGGGTTGGTATCCTGGTTTTTGATTTGACTTCAGTGGTCTCCTGACTTCCTTTTGTCCTTTCTGTAGCATTTTCACAGGCTTCAGTCAGGATACATAGTGACACACCTGCATACCTGTTCAGAGAGACTCTTTGAGGGAAAGGTGGATGTTAAGAGGTATTTTCCTCAGCTGTGATCCTCTTGCTGTGATGTCTGAGGGTTTAGCCTGAGTTCTGATTTAACATTTTATCATTCAGGGAAAGACAGAGACTAACTTACAGGAGATTTCAGATCAAACTGATGAAAAGATCAGGCCCCAAAGGACATTTTTTGGCTTCTTCTGATATAAGTGTGAGTGACCTGTTTATAAGTGTGTGACCTGCTAATGGAGACTCAGATCTTTCTCAGGTCAGAGAGTCTCTGCTGTGCTCAGTAGTTTAATTTAGCCTGGAAACCCGAACCTTAACCACCTCTGTCAGCTCCTTCTCTTGGCCCAGGATTTAACCACAGGGCAGCCAGCTGGGATTTGGGAGGTGGTTTGTGTCGTAATGATGAAGATTCCCAAGTTCTTCTAATATGCATTTAGATCAAACCAGACCAGTGCTTTACTTCCGGTACTGGATCAGGTACTATGCAGGAGACATATAATTTATGATTCAATGATTCACTTCCAACCTGGAATTTAACCAGTTTCTCTCACATGCTACAATCTTGAACAAAACCTCAGAGCACATCTGCTATTGTTTAACAACTTTACAGCCTTTGGCAGCGATGGCTCAGACTTTTGTGTCTGTGCTGTAATAATTTACAGTCTAACCTGAGTGAAATGGTATCAAGAAACAACACTAAAAGGGGGTTTTGCTGCTTCATTACCAGGTTTTAAATACTGTGCAGTTCAACAACTGGAGTGAGACTGTTAGTTTGAGGTACAGTATGCATATCAGCAGAAATTAAGATTTATCAAATTCAACACACAAAGCAAAATCAAAACATGCAAAAAAGTTTAACGATGAAAGAAGGTGTGAGTTTAGTTCAAACAAGCTTCAGGATGAGTCCAGTATTTTTGGTTGGGGGCAGAAAACCAAACCTCAGACAAAAGATCAGACAAAAACACACTATAAAAGGAGACAGTTACGAGTAAATTTAGGTTTGCTAGGAATTGAGAGAATAATGTATTACAAGAAAAAGACTACTCAAAGACTACAAAGCCTCACCCTATTAAAATAGTTGCCTAAGCCATTATTTTAAATGGCTTAGGCCACAGACTACAGAAAGACTTCAGGAAAACATTAAAAGGACAACAACAACAAAACTACAGAAAGACTACAGAGAGGCTACAAAAGAACTACAAAAAGACTACAGAAAGACAACAATAGACTACAGAAAGACAACAAAGACTACAGAAATACTAAAAAGACTGCTATCAGACTATAAAAAGACTACAAAAGACTTAAAAAAGGACTACAAAAAACTACAAAACGGCTATAGAGAGACTACAAAGACCACAGAAATACTACAAAGACTATAGAAGAACTACAAAGAATACAGGAAGACTGAAAAATGACTACAATAAAACTGTAAAAAGGCTACAGAGAGACTCAGAAAGACTACAAACGAACTGCGAAAAAGACTACAAAGACTACAGAAAGACTGCAAAAGAACTACAAAAAGACTACAGATAGACAACAAAACAGTTACAGAAAAGACTTTAGAAGAAATACAAAAAGCAGTTCCACAGTATATATGTCACCCAAATGCTTTATGTGGGCGGATATGGTTTATGAGAGGTGGAAAATAATCTGAGAGCTGGTTCTCAAGAAACAATCATCAGGACCTCTTACTTATACAGTAGCATCCTTTAGGAAGCTGGTCTGGTATATAAACTGGTGTTTTCAAGAGTCAGATTGCTCTTTTGTGGTACTTCAACACTCATATAACCTGATAAATAAAACTTCTGATGAAAACTAGTTTTTGTCAAATGAAAAAAAAACATTAAAAAAGCTGAAGAAAGAACTCAAGTGTCACAGAGAATATGAGACAATTTCTTCATTGAGGTTTTAACATCGGCTGAATTTCTTACAAATAAAAAGTCTGTGTTTGATATTTGATCACTACAGCACACACTGATATTACAGAGTATAAACCAGTGTGTTGGTTACACCTCAAACATCATCTAATTTCCTTCCTCTGTTTCATCCTTTTTCAATAATCATCTTATTCTAACTGAAAGGGTTAAAGGATATTGAAGTTTTTTGCATACATGTTGACAGGATTTTTGTAGAAGACATAAATTAATACATTTATTTTTATATTCCATAAATCAAAATCAAAATGAGACTTAAACTACAAGACCAACAGAATCAAATTTGGACTTATATTGCATGCAGAATGTGTCATGTTCCATGTCTGCACAGTGTGATTGGTTGGTATAATTTTTCATGGTTAGTTAGTGGGGTTTAAATTTATATTTTCTGTAGGCCTCCAGCACCTACTTCATCGCTTTATCTTACCACATGGAGTTTTTTTTTTTTTTCATTTGCACAAATTAATCAGTTCAACATTTGATGTAGTTACACAAAAAAAAAAAAACTTTGTTGTGTGCTTCCGATCCTATAAGTAATCTAGAAAAAGAACATTGTCCCCTCTTTCTAATGCTTTTCATCAGAGACCAGAATAATTTAATGATTCATGTTCATGTTTTTCTGTTTTTTATGACTTAACTCACTCCCCTGATTGGCTGGAACCGTGGCATACTGTGTGAAGGTGTATCTGGAAAATGTTAAACTCTTCTTTCTGTGAGAGAGGAATGAAGACATGAAATCACTGAGCACAAAACTACTGTCATCCTTCACAAACCAATTCTCTCACAATACTAACAACAATGATGATCACATATGGGTTTGTTTCATGTGATATGTTTGTAACTGTAACTCAATGTGAAACTTGATTTAAAGTCCATTCAACACAGGTTTTCCCTTTGTAATCACTGATCAAATCTGTTTTTAACATTTCTGCTTCTGCCTTTTTAGAGATAGCATCACCTTTACTGCTGCCTCCTGGGACGCCTGAAACATGGCACAGTAAGTTAGACCATCACACACAAGCTCTTGTCACGGCTAACAAAAGATCAAGATAATTAAAGAGTCTCCATTGTTGATGTGCACTTTTTTTCTGATGTGTGACTGTAGTGTCCAGAGGGTGCAGAAGAAGACCAGCACCATGTCTCTAACCATCTCCTCTACCTCCTCTGCATCCTCCACTCGAGAGCTCTCCTCCTGCTCCTCCAGCTCTTCCTCAACCTTAATTGCTCAGCGGCACTCCAGCCTGGTGCAGCCTCTGTGTGTCAGCCCTCAGACGGTAATCAAGAGACCTTCTCTTTTTTTTTTAAACAAGAGTAGTAGTTGTATACCTGGAAAAGGACAATCCTGCAGGTGATGAGCGCACATATTGTATTAGCTAAAAGATGTGCGGCCAAAGCTTGGATCCAACTCTGCTTAAAAGTGGATGAAGTTTGAAGCCAACCTTGAACAGGCTGTTTGAGGAATTTAATTTTAAAGGACTTTTTTCCTTCCAGACTCAGAGTCCTGTCTACACTCAACAGTACACGGGGAATGGAGTCGCTCCTTCTTTTGTCAAGGTAATTCATACACTGTCAATACACAGTAAATAACATAAAAACAAATGATTATTGACAGTGGTCTTCCTCTTTGTCTGTTCTCACCCAGTGCCTCCATGATATGTCCACGGTGAAGGGTCAGTTAGTGGTCCTGGAGTGCAGACTGAGGGGAACTCCTCCCCTGCAGGTCATGTGGTACAGAGAGGAAGAACAAATTCTGGACTCTGATGATTTTAGGATACTGAGAAAGAGTAAGTGTTTGACAGTGGTCTGAAGTCAGAAGATTCAAACATGAGCAATGAATCTGCCGTCATATAAATTACCCCTTATCTCTCTCCTTGTTTTCCCAGAGGCCAGCTCCGCGTCAGTCCCAGGTTGGTAGAGATTTTCAGAGAAGTGGTGATGTTAAATCCTGATCACTGTTTCCCTCCGAGAAGGGAGGAAGTAGAGAAGGAGGCAGGCATTGTTAGCATTAGGGCCCACAAACCAAGGAGGGCTATCATCATTTCCTCCTCTATTTTAACTTCTGATATGAAAGGATCCAAAGTTTAATACAGAAGGAAACTCAGCAGGGTGAAGATCTGCTGAGGTTTTTTCCTAAAGGGTTAGATAAAGATGAGCATCAACCAAAAGAGAGCCAACAGAAAATGTTTTTTTAAGTTAGAACCAATGTGCTTGAACTCTGAAGGTGATTATAGTATAAGTGCATCTCTATCAAGGCAAATTAGCCAAACATGGTTCAGGATTTTAAGGGTAGTCATTGGGGTGGCTGATCAGCCAGGCCACCCCCTGGCTCAGCCTCTGCTTCTACACATCTGTATGAAGACAAAGCACAAAACAGGTTCATGTTTTTCTAGGTAGTTACAGGGTAGAAGGGGGAGAAACCACTGCTGAGGTCAGTCAGGTTTCTTGAATATATTAAAAAGGTTGGAAAAAAATATCAATTTGTTATGACAGATGGTTTTTCTTGATGATTGAATATAAAACCATTAATGTGGTTGTGTTTGGTATACTTGCAGCTGCATATGAAAGCTGTTCTGTGATAATGAATGCATGAGAGAGTCTGGATCCTGGTGGTCCTGTGTGGGAGGATGTTTTCATGTAAACTGAATGAAGGTCGTGTTTTACCCTCTGCAGAGGAGCTGTGTACTCTGGTGATCACAGAAGCCTTTCCTGAAGACTCTGGCCTCTTTAAGTGTGTGGCCCTCAATTCCTTTGGCACAGTCTCTTGTTCAGCAGTCTTGGAAGTATACAACGGTTAGGTGTCATATTATACATAATATTATCATCTATATAGATTTCATTTTAATACTTTATTATAAATGATCACTCTCACTTCAAATGTCACTTGTCTCATGTTTCGTAGACGTGGAGGAGCAGCTAGAGATGGAGGCCATCAGTCAGCAGGAGGCAGCTCCTCTGAGACAGGGAGAGGAGATTGAGCCCCAAGACGAGACAACCACCTCCTCCAGACTAAGTGCTGAGGACTTCCCCCCTGAGCTGCCTGACTCTATGACCCTGCCTGCTCCTGAGTGGCCTGACAGCCCTCTCAATGATAACCTCCCTGTTGCAAAGTGAGTAGATTGTAAACCTATACAAAACTCCTGCTTCAGTATGACCCAGCAAGCATCTGTGAACATAACCAAACCTTGGTGCACATACACACCCTTAACCTTACAGATTTATAATATATATTTGTCTCTGTATCATATGGAGCGTGTTTGTCCTTCTATTTGGTGTGAGCAATAACAGCATGGCATACTTACTATAAAACTGTAATCTTTTAAGGGGAAATTTGTCATTTCCCCCCTTTTTTTTAAAAGTTTGGGGCTGCTGACTATGATTTTACGGAAAGTCAAACTCATTTTCAGATTATGATTTTGGCCTGTAAACAAAGAAACAGTAAATGTCCTTACTTATCTCTTTAATTCACTCATTCGTTCACTCACTTGATCACAGGCTATATCATTCACCTTCGTGTTAAAGAGTTGGGGGCTGACAGATTTTATTGAAGGGAATTCCACAGGATTACACATGTATTTAAAAAATAGATATATAACACTATTGTAGTTTATGCTTCTTTCCAGACGAGGTCGCTGCTGTACTGTTGTGGGAAATTAGTTATTTTTAAAACTGAAATTTCCTTCTCTTTTCTCCTGTTTTTCTAAACTTACAAAGTGACAGAGATTGATGATAACACCAGGCTATTTTTAGAAAATAGATCAGACTTTCAATACGGCCCATTGGCAGAGTAGTATACTTACACGCTTCTTGGCAGGTCTTTAAAACACTTTTTTTAGGCTACAAACGGAATAGATGTGACTTTTAGACGATACCGGTAGTCCTCTTTGAATTCTGATGGGTCTCGGTCTGTTGTAGCACCAAAATGAAGCCCAGGCTCACTTTTAGAGCTGTTTTTATGATGGTGATGGTGAACTCGACCCTCGCGTGCCCGAATCGCTGCATACCCCTCGTGAGCGCGCGCTGACACCTGTTGCAGTCCTGCCTCTTGCTCCTCATCGGAGTCTGAGCTCCCTCTCCACCCAGAGAAAGTACTTTTATTCAGTTTAAACTGTAGTCTTTGTAGACTTCAGGGATACAGGGATTTCCTGACGAGGTAAGAACCCCGTTCATGTCTTTACTGTTTTTACTGCTGGGTTCCAGCAGAACCGAGCTTTACTGCATCTCTGCTCTGTAGTCAAAGTTTGGACAGGGTCATTTTCCTCTCCTTTCTAAATCTTGAAAAAACAGGCATAAAGTCAACTGTCCTCTTTAAAAGGTCAAACCATGTTGGAAAAGGAACTTTGATCTAATCTGGGCCTTTGCGTGGTCTGGGTTGGACCCCTGTCAAATAGTTTAAATGAGAGTACTGTGAATTAATCCAGATTCCCCGTTAACAGTCATTTAAAAAATGTTCAGTGTCCTTTCCTCAGGAGCCTTCTGCCATCTGGGTGTGCTCAGGAGATAGGATACACTCCAGGAAAGCAGAAGAAATGTATCAATAAAGCTTGAGGAAACAGCTCCTAACAGCCCACAGTGTGGTACTGGTACTGGTACTGGTAATGGTACTGGGCACCCTGTCCTTCAGACTTAACCTTTTGGCTACATTCCCTTCTTTGAATTCATGAGCAGGTATGAATATGTCTACAACTTCTACTACCATTAGCAAGTTGTTATATTTCAGTGTTATGAGTTTTTTGATTTCCTTGAGGGAACCTGCCCAAAAGTATAAATAAAGCTGTATCTAATCTAGTTTGATCTAATCTAATCTAATCTAATCTCTAGTGTTTTTGCCTTGAGTTGAATACGGGTTTAATGGTTCATCATGAAACCCAGAGAGTGGTGCGTGAAGTATGTTTGGGTGAGCACACAGTTATGTGTCCACTGTGTATCTGTGTCCAGGGCTATGATCTCATCTGTAATATGAAGTGCAGCCATGGTGTCTGTGTCCTTCAGAAACCCCTCTTCCCCAGTGCTGCAGACCACCACAGTTGTTCAAAAACTGTTGGCAGGGGTCTAGATTATGAAATCCTGTTGAGGTTACTAACTAACTTGAATCTGATCTGGCTGCTTTCTTGATTTGAGTACTAAATGATGATAGAAAATGGTTACCTGTATTGTAAGGTGAAAGTTCAGAGCAGTCTACAATGGATTTGGAACCATTTCTTAAACCCATACAGGCTGCCATGACAGTTTGACAGACCACACTGTAAAAGGTCAGCGCCTGAAGGATTTTAAGCTGTTCTCAAGTCTTCATATCATTTACAGATGTATTCTTTAAAGGGTACATCACATGGAGGTTTGATGTGCTGTGAAGAACTAAAGCTTATTAAATGAACAACCTTGGGCTGACCAGTGCTGCTTTGAATGGCGCTCCTTATTAGGGTGGTTAGTTTGCCCACCTTTCTGATCAAAGGTGAAGCTATGAGCTGCCAAATGAATGAAGAATTTGATTCTTGTAGCTACTTCAGTAACCTTCACAATAAAAACTTAAAACCGCTGTCTTTGACCGGCATGTGTGACAGTGGGTCTCACAGCAGGTCTTTCAGTGTCTTTAGTCCTGCAGAAACTTGTTAGAAGCTGTTCAGTCTTCCTGCTGTTGTTCTCCTGCGTCACAGTCCTACAGAAGACTAAGCATAGCTCAAAATGCCCCTACACACAATGTCATGAAGATCGTGTGTGTGTGTGTGTGTGTGTGTGTGTGTGTGTGTGTGTGTGTGTGTGTGTGTGTGTGTGTGTGTGTGTGTGTGTTTGCGTGTGTATTAAAGGGGCTTGGTTGCCAGTAGAGTGTCTGCACCTGCCGGCTGTTGTCCGAATTCCAAGACCAATATAGCTTTGCCCACATAATGACGCAAACTCCAAACACATACAAACGCTCTCATAGATATCCATACACATAAAAACACACCAGAAGATGCACACAGAGGAAGCATGTGAGGTCTAATGTAGACCTAATGTAAACTGGTGGTTATGCAAATCAGGATCCCATTAGAGTTCACCCTAACCTCCAGTGTGATGCTCCTCAGTCTGTGCCCAGTGACTGTGACTATTTCCAGCCCTGAAGACCAGCCTGAGATGGAAACTTACACTTTTGCCACAATGTTTGGCTGTAGACTGCCAATAGATACTTACAGTATTACCATGGTAGCAATGGGCAGTTGTGACATTATAGACTGCTTTACAGGGCTTACAGGGTCGTCCCTGGTGTCACTTTTATTATTGAGATTAAATGACTTTTGTTGGATGAACCATCATAATTAAATGAACACAGTCAGGTAAACAGTAAGCTAACTGAGTAATAACTGAAGCTAAAGGATCATTTTATAAACCAATGAGTGCCATCAGCTAACACTTATTTGACTCTTGATATCACTGTTGACGTGCTTTTTCCAGCTAAATGCATTATTCTATCATTGAGAAAGGTCACTGGAAATTTAAGCATTTCTATGTTAAAAATACCATCATCTATTTGCAATCCAATTCTGATTTAAAGACACAGTTTGTGACTCTCAGTTTAGGTCAGCTGATGCTGACTGGCTAAAACTGACTTCACCCTCCAGAAAGCTGTTCAATGCAGAGGAGCAGAGAGTAAAGAACTGAGTAAGAAAGAGCAGAAGTAGTGTCTAATGTTGTCATTTTGCTCAAACATAGCCTGGACTGCATGGTTGTCATGGTAACAGTATTCTTTTCGTCAACAATTCTGAAGAGTAAAACTCAGTGGAGAGATTAAATATTAAAAATATTTAGACTGCAGAAGCCAGAATAACTGTGCTGGGGTGGACTGTGGACAATGTGCACAGACTGTTTCTTCACAGGCCTAAATGTGTACCCCTCTGGGACGCTGTGGCTCAGTGGTGGAGTCAGTAAACTCTTAATCAGATGGTTGGTAGTTTGGTCCCTGAGCCCCCCTGCAGTCCACATACTGAAATGCTTATGGGCAAGACACTCAACCCGCATTGCGAGTGAATGTGGGCACTTTACATAGCAGCTTCTGCCCTTGTATTAAAGGGTAATGCTATGAGACTAGAGTAGGGCTTTATCAATACTCAACATATAAGTCTGTTGAATTGGATAGAGCCACTAAAGTCTTTGTCACACTCAGTGATAAAGAGAAAGTCAGGAGCTCTTGAGTTTACCAGGTGTACTAAAACAGAAGTACTGATGAGGACAGAGTTACTCAACTGTGGCTTTGGGAAGGTCTCAACATGTGTGAGGTGGGAACTGTTATATCTTTAACATGCTGTGCTACAGCAGCACAAACTGTGGTGCAATCACTGGTAGCTGCAGAACTGAAGAAGAGGAGCATTAGACGCAGGTGTGTGTGTTAGTAAAGCAGAGGGACAGAATGAGCATGTAACAAGGATGTGTGTATGAGTTTAACAAGAGTGAATGTACTTAACAAGCACATGATCACCACACTGTGATTACAATGACATAGTATTTCTTTATCATCACGTTCCAGCATCCTTGCTCGTCTCTTATTATTTGTAACTGTTTCAAATCTTTGCTAATACTCTTTTGTCTGTCAGTTTCCCAGAGCCTCAGCTGGACCACCATTCCTCTGAAGAATACTTTGGTTACAGTGAGGAGGAAAGGGTCCTGAACTCAGTAAGCCAAAAAGCTCTGGAGGTTACTGTCAGAACCTTTACCCCCAGTCCTCCTCCTCCTTCCCCTACCCCACCAGGATCACCAACTCAAGCAAAGGAGACCTCCAAAACCCCTAAGCTGTTCACCCCGAGCAAGCTCAATTTCACTGTAAGAGCATTTCTACACATCTCTAACTGTCAGGTGCATTTTTGTACATAAAGAAACCGTAACAAAGACAAACATTATAACTGGACAAAATCTAAGTAACCTTTACAACCCATTGACTACCATTGAATCAAGGTATATTATCTGTTTGAGAATTAACCAAAAAAGTGTCACAAAAGGAAGTCATGCATCCCAGTCAGTGTGCATGTTTTGACCTTTCTTCTTCTTCTTCTTCTTCTTCTTCTTCTTCTTCTTCTTCTTCTTCTTCTTCTTCTTCTTCTTCTTCTTCTTCTTCTCCTGTCTTTCCTCCAGTCCTCCCACACAGGAGGCAACAACATGAACCTGTCAGATCTGCCTACCTTCACTCCCAGCACCTTCCCTCCCAGTGCCTTTAACTATGAGCGACCGAGGCACTTTATCCAGTCCCAGGCTGCCTTCCAGGCCCCCAGCTATGAAAGTGTTGTGAGGGAGGCCCAGGAGAACCAAACCAACTCCCAGCAGAATTTCTGCAGTCCCCTAAACAGTCCAAATGTTACAGAGACACAGAGTCAAACAAAAATGCTGTCTGCGCAGAATCAGTCCTTTTCACAAACTGAGTCCGTCTCAAAGTCCCTGTCACAGACCCAGTCACAGCTTCAGTCATTAAGCCTCAGTCAGAACCAGGCTCAACCTGCTGTCAAGATCCAGACTCAGACCCAGGCCAATGGCACAGCCAAGTCCTCTCCTTCCCCATCCAGTCTCAGTTCTCCTCTGTCCACCTCGGCCTTTTCTGTCACACCTAATCTTTCTCCTACTACTCCTTCAACCACTATCCCTTCCAGCCCCTCTTATCAAGCCTCCTCATCCTCTCTCCCCCGCACTACCATGCGGTCAACCATCACCCTGACCCCAAGTGTCCCCAGTGCCACTGGCCTTGGCAGTGCCACCCTACCAGCCAACCAGGACAGCATGTCCGCCCCTGCTGCCTATCTCTGCTCTGTGCTGCCCTCCGGCTCTTCCTTCTCCCCCTTTCCCTCCTCCAAGCTGTCTCCTAAGTCCAGCCTTCAGCACCCCTCCATCTCCCCATCCCACTCCCCCCTCTCCCCCCCCAGCCCTTCTCTCCCTTTGAGGGCCTCCTCTTCTCCTTCCTCCCTCCCCCAGCAGCCTCTGGCAGCGTCCCCATCCCTCCCTGGCTCCCCTCTTTCTCTGTCCTCTGTCCTGCAATCCAACACTCCCAACAGTCCCACCAGAGTACAGCCTGCTGTGGTCTCACTGCCCGCCAGCTACAGAGGAACTCCAAACACGTAAGTTAACATACTCATCAGCACTCTTATAACCCAACAAATGACCTTTTACCTCCAGTAACAAAGCAATACTCAGAAAAACTAAAGAGTTCAGACTCCCAGGACAGACAGTTCATCATACATGTCAGATTAGAGAGACCCTCCTCAACAAAGAAGGCACCAATGTCTTTTTTTTACAGCCCCACCTCGATAAATATCAATGTAGGTGATTTAAGTTATTTAGATTGAACTTAAAGGTGGGGGAGGCAGGATCTGAGGAAGTGCCAGTTTTTGGGGAGAAATCTTGAATGTAAACTCTAACCCTCCCAACCAGTTTTCCCCTCAGCTTCTCCTCTCCCCTCCCTCTCTACTCCAACAAGTCCTGCCCAAAAACAGATGCTCCTGCTCACTTGTATTGTTCCAATTAAATTCAGATATAATGCAGATAAATACTTGAGATAATTACAAATGGGGCCCAGTCAACGTGAAAGTTAACAGCATTGGTGCTACTGTAGATGCCAACAGACTACCAGCAAACACAATGTTTGCAGGACTTCTACAACTAGGATAAAGTGACATAGTCCAGGACCCGAGGTAAATAGTTTAGCGGAGCTACAGTAGCACAGCAGGTCCCGTTTGACAAGAAACACTTCTGTTACAGACACTTGGCTTACTTTCTTAAAGCAGTGTACCTGTCCAGCAGAAAGGTTACAGGGTCTGTAAGATCCCGAAGCGTCCCAATCGTTTTTGCTGATGTTGACCTGGCTTCTTGGCTCTTGTTTGGTCTACCACAGTTTACCACCCATTATTTACCGCCCATTTTTCCGCTGTCTATGGTATTTACTCAGTTTTTTTGCTTGTGTTTTCCGTACTTTCTGGTTGGTTTGGCTCTTTGTTTGGGCTCATGCATGTTATTGGAGGACGTGGAGCGTGCCTCACACCATGAGAGAGCAATGTCTGCCTCACAACCAATCAGGTTGGGGGAGGCGGAGAATGGCTTTGTTTCCAGTCAGAAGGAGCTGGCCGCTCAAAAAATTTTAAATGTTGACTACACAGACATAACAAAATACAGCGATATCATGATATTCCCAAATGTCTTTAATAACTAATAGCTATTGACTGATATTAAAAGCTTTTTTGTATATACACCACAAAAAAAGATGCCTGTTTAACAGAATCCTGCCTTCCGCACCTTTGAAACAGACTTGTACGTACATATGAACAACATCTGCATACACAAAAATCCTCAATGTGTTGTTATGATTGATAAACTGGAAAATTAAATGAAATTCGAAATCCTTTAAGAACCAGTGAGAATCTACGGTGAAGCCACAAGATCTATAGGCACTTATTGTGGTGTCATAGTGTATACTAAGAGACTCCATCCAAGTATCCAGCCATCTATTTAAGTCTACTCCATATGGGGGAATAAGGCTGAGGCCAAGACCAGCATGGTTAGTCTCATGGCTTATACTGATGATCCAGCTGGTCACACTCACTAGCACAGACACTGACAGTCTTCTGTCAAATCAAACTGTTCATGGCAGGATTCCTCTCTTCTCGCACCTCCAGCCTCCCTAAGCCTATCCTGAAGAAGTCTATTGCTCCACGGCCTTCTTCTGCCCGCTCCACAGATGAAGATATACAGGGCTCTAAAGATGCCCTCATTCAGGACCTGGAGAAGAAGCTGCGCTCGAAGGAAGCAAGAAGACGAAGTAACCAGGTATGTGTGTATTTGCTGCTGGTGCTGCTGGTGTGTTGTTGTTGTTCTGTGAGTTCTTGTTTATGTGTGTGTGTGTGTCCTTGTTGATGTTTTGGATGTTCTATTGTGTGTTTGTTTGCGTGTGTGTCCTGTAAACCGTGTAAAGTGCAGAAAAAGGCACTTTTCCCCACTTGCCCACACATTTAAGGTTACGTTTGAACCTTATCGATAACATACACACTTTCCACGTGTGTCCAAAAACAGCACTTTAACAGTGTAAAGCTTCAATTTTGACAGAAGCTGTCCTATGAGGAGCGTATGGCTCGTAGGCTGCTGGGTCCAGACAACGCCAACTACATGTTTGACCAAGACTATCACACAGACTCGCAACTTGACCAGGTATGAAAACAGATTCCATTTAGACATGGGAGTTGTTGTTTTCACAAGCTTTCAGTCTTAACAAGTCTAACAGTGTGGGGGGTGAACTGATGTATGTTGCAGTGCTGACTGTGTTGTACAGACTTCTATGTTGATCTGACCCAAACCTATTAGTTTTCATTGTGCCATGAAAGACCACTCATTGGTGGAATCATTTTGAATGAGTACAGAGAGAGAACATTTCCCTCTGAAGGCCTCCCAGTCCGACTGAAAAACCTGGCAGTAAATCTAACAACCCAGTGAGCGATGCAGTGCTGTCATTATGGCCGGTTTACTCTGAGCAGGTTCTGTGTGTGTGTATGTGAATGCTTGTGTTTGTCTATGAGTGTCTGTGTCTGATGTGTGCATGTTTGTGTCTTTTGTCTATGTGTGTGTGTGTGTCTGTATTATATATATGTGTATGTGTGTGTGTGTGTGTGTGTGTGTGTGTGTGTGTGTTAAGGTTTTTCAGAAAGCTTCTGTTACCCACAGGAGGGCTTGCACCATCTATTCTTTCCCTCTCTCTCACATACACACACAGACAAACACACACACACACACACAGACAAACACAGACAAACACAGACACACACACACTCACACACACACAGACACGTGTCCTCTATAGCTAGCAAGGTCTGTTAGAGGCTATTTCTGGCCTACTTTCTGGGAACAAACCCTTTTGACAGATGACAACAGGAACTTTGTGTCACACACACACACACACACACACACACACACACACACACACACACACACACACACACACACACACACAGGCACAAATATCAACACTAACACACAGTTTGTCAAACTGAACTGCTCCCTGCTCTGAGATTTTTATAACCTGTCTTTCCCTTTGTTAATGTTTGCTGTTATAGCCGGCTCCCCAGGAGGGCAGACACACAGGTGGACTTTGGTAAGTACATCTTTCCAGTCAGATGAAGAGTATTAAACTCTGAGAGGGTTTCCTTTGGAGATCTTTGGCAAGTCTGACCAGTACTGGTCTACCACCAAATGATTTTCACAGTCCCAGACTGAAAACTGAAAGTCTTAAGTAAATCTAGGAGTTTTACTGGAGTCACAGTGGAGTCACAGTGCGCGATCGTGAAGTTTAAGATGGTAATCTGTACTGTTTTATATCAGTCTTTTCCTGGTCTTGGGTTTGCGGTAATAGCAAACATGTTTGATGTTATTGCAAGCCACAGTGACGAAACACAACAAACAACCAATAAATGAGCTCTGATAAAAGCGGAAAAGGAAACCTAACAGTCAATACAAGAATAAGAATATATGAAGTATTCCTGGCGATAAAACGTCAAACGTAAATAAAGTTTTTTTTATGCGCTACTTTGAACTCAATAACAATCAGTATATGCGGTGCACACAGGCTGCACCGCAGGGCTCGCTTGCCGAGTATTAGTTATAGCGAGTTTCAAGTTGTCATATGTGAACACACAGCTGATTAATGAGCCCCCCCCTACCAAACACACACTCCCATAAACACACACACACACACTCTAAACTGTCAAAAGATGCTAGAAGAATCTAGTTGTAGTCTTGTAAACAGTGACCCTATAAGATTCACAGTCTTTGTAAAGTCTCGGTATGAGACGAGGCTGAGACTAAAAGCGAAACACTTGTCTTTAGATGTGAGCAGGTGTGAGCTGATAGTTTTCCAGGAGTGTTTTCCAAATCTTCTCAAAGTGCTCTGGTGGATAGCTGGCCTAAATGGGCTCAGTCCGTTCAGTAGCAAAGCAGATCTTCTGGACTTGGATGGATTTGAGGTGACTCTAAACGGAGGGTTTAGACTCTAGTACTGTCACATTATTATTCCAACTGTCTGTTTGGGGCAGTCGTACAATCAGTCAGTCATGTTGTCTTGAGTGTTTGCTGTCAGGAGTAGACTGTACAGTTCAGAGAGTTAAACTGAGGCTGTGGATAAATGATCATGCTCTCTGCAGGGGGAGGCACCACACGGGGACAGATGAGAGGGGAAACGAGGGCTCAGCCATACAGGAAAAATGTTATGCCCCTCGCTTCCTGCAGATCCCCCCAGACCTCACCGTGGAGGAGGGACGCTTCTGTAGGATTGACTTCAAGGTGAGTCTTACATGCATTAACACCCATGTCTTTACAGAAAAAAAAACCTTTATTAATCAACTTCAGTCTTAGATATGAAAATGTTGTGGTTGTGTTGGTTTGATTCTCATAGAAAATATAGAAAGAACTTTGTTTTCTTCTCAAACCAGGTGGGAGGCCTGCCCACACCAGATGTCTGCTGGTATCTAGATGGTAAAGCTATTCGTCCAGATGACTACCACAAGATGCTGGTGTGTGAAAAAGGGATGCACTCGTTCATCATAGAGATTGTGACCGTGCACCACGCAGGTGCGTACGAGTGTGTGGCCAGAAACCGAGCAGGAGAGAGTCGATTCACCATGAAGCTGGACGTTTTAGGTGAGAGGTCATTTCATCCTGTCTGGGAAGCTGGGAAACTGCTTTTTTTATCAAATTGCAGCTCTAAATATTCATCATGATTTAGTATATCCATGCCAGTCTTTTTCTTGGGCAGTAACGGATTTTAACAATTTTTGTTCATCCTCGCCTCCTCTCTGTAGCCCAGGAGGTTCTCCGTCCTCCCACGTTTGTCCAAAAGATGTCCAACTCCAGAGCTCTGGAAGGTGACACTGTCAGGTTAGAGTGTAAAGTGGATGCCTCCCCTTTACCACAGCTCTTCTGGAAGAAAGACAAGGACATGCTGCGGATCGATCCCAACAGAATGAGGTACTTTGTTTTAGCTCAACTCTTTCTGAACAGCACTCCCAATCATCTGCAGCACACTTAAACAGTCAGTCAATACATATTGATATATATCTTTATTTTTGTGCATAGTTGTTTGTATTTAATGAAATCTGTGCTGTTTTAAATTGATTTTACTTTCATTCTAATTAAGTTGAATTGAACTGAAGTGAATTGAATAAAAGTGAAGTAAATTGAATCAAATTTAAGTGAGTGAGCGAGCAAGCAAGTGAGGGAGGCAGAGGAGAGACACCCTCTTTCAGAGAACCAATTGCAGCTTGAGCTTTTCTCACAGAGATTAGAATTTTAATATTAAATACTGTCATTTAATTATTTTGAACCACTCAACAGCCCGTTATGAAGACTGAACTCTCACATTTGAAACATCTGAAGGTTGTAACAGAGAGTGAATAAGTCAAAAAGGTTTGTTAAGACTAGCATCAGTGTTATCAGTGGTGCTAATGCTGCACACACTGATGTTGTGTTTGTGTTTCTCTCGGCTTTGATTACCATCCTTAACTGAGTCCCTCAAAGATAGCTTCAGAAGATTGTGAAAATACATTGTGCATGTGTTTTTGTTTTTTTACAAATATTGTTTTTATTTCTTGTTTGAATGGTCTGGCTGTCATGTGTTGATGCAGTGATGAAATGCTCATCAGAAACTCTCTTTCCTCCTCTGTAGTCTGTATCAGGATGGTTCAGGACGACAGTGCCTGTTGATAGAGAGACTGACGAAGTCTGATGCCGGCTGGTACACTCTCTCTGCCATCAATGAAGCAGGAATGTCCACCTGCAACGCAAGGCTGGATGTAGGGAGTAAGTCCACTGTGTGTTCATCTGTCTGTTAGTGTCAGCAACAGAGTATGGAGCATGGTGTCCGCTCATGCTGCATCCAGCTGTTTCATCATCTTTCTTTGACTACAAACAAACGCTCAGTTCTGTGATGAAGGGGGAACTTGATGAATATGAGGTATAGAGCTGCTTTGGCTTTTCTAAGGGCTGTTGCATGATCACTGAGTCGCAGCGTGAGTAAGGAATCCACCCCCAGGAGGGAGCTCTCTGAGAACACACAGCTATTAGATTTCTGTCTGATCACATCACACACCATCTGCCAGGTGGAGACTGAGCTGAGTGACAGCACTGACAAAGAACACAACCTGTCCTTCTGTTAGACCTGAACTGGACTAAACGGAAAAAAAAAGAGAGTTTCCACTTCCACAAATACTACTGCTGCTGAGCAGGAACACCGACCAAAACAAGAAAAGAGTTTTCTGAAGAGTTACAGATTATAAGTATTTATTATTTCATTTAGTGTTATTGGAGCTGCAGACGTATTTTCTGATACCTGACATGAGAGGGGACGTTCAGTCCAACGGATCCTCCTCCTCCTGCTGCTGTTATATTATCTTACCAATCACCATGGCATATTATTCAGGTATCATGTTTACACCAGGTGCCCCTTCACCTGTTATCTTTTATTGATTTCAACCTTTTGCAAACCTGTTAATATTTTAACCTTTTTGATTAAAAAGCATGATTGAAAAATACTGAACATCTTTGATCACCAAAATGAGACAACAATCTTTGTGACTTTATTTCAATGTACTCAAAGATGAATTAATGTATTATTGCTGCTCTTCAGCATGGTTTCAGTTTGTGAGCTGACAGTAAAGTTAGCATTAGTGATGGTTTCTCAATTCTGGCTGAATGCTCTGTTTCTATTTTGATTCTGTTTCTTTTGCTTTTCCCTGCTGAGCCGTTCGGCTTCTTTTGGAAACACAGACATCTGTGACTGAGACACTGGACGTTGACTTGTCAGTCATAGACAAGTCAGCCTTCTGGTAGTTTTCTTTGTTGATTAAAGTTTTTCCTTCTCAGGTCATTTTAAGAGGATACTGAGTCTGAATTCATGTTTTGCCAAAACAAGTACTAAATATAAAAGTTGTAGTGAATTTGACATGCCTTTGCCAGTTTTCCTGTTCATACTCTCTGATTTTCATAAACCCTTTGATTTTGTCTTTTCATTTTCCAACCCCTTCAGTCAGTTATCATCTGCCACATTGACTTACCTGCAAATATCAAGCTAAGACTTGTTTTCAGGAGGAGTTTTGCTTCAGGGTGTTCAGCTAACGCCAACTTCCACGGGATAATGAACCCGCTCAACTCTAATCAAATAACTTCAGAGCTCCTGTTTGACTTACAATCTGAAGTATCTGAAGTTAAAGTAGTATCTTCATATTTTATTAAGGATTCAGATACAATCAAACGAGTCCTTTCAGAAACACTGTTGTCCATGTCATAAAATCATGATTGTTTGAGTGTTTTACAGTTCAAAAGTAAACTGGGGGACCCCCACAGTAGCTCAGTACACTTCAGTTTATATAACTGCATTTTCTGTCCCCTGCAGCTCGCTCAGCCCCACCCATGAAAACAGCCCCCCCTGGTTCAAAGACGCTGAAGCTGCTGTCCTCTCTGAGCCACGTGCCTGCTCTGACAGTGGAGACACCTGCCCAGCACACCGCCCCTCTGTACGAGAGTGAGGAGCTGTAGCCCCAGACTGAACCGAGTCTCATCCAGACCATTACACACATCACAGTAACATCTCAGAGCTGTCTGGCCGCGCAGGAGCTCGTAATCATATCAGGGCAGACGGAGTCATTAACAGTAAACCTGGATACCTTTCACAACACACCTGAAGCTAAACCACAATTCAACTCTGCAGTTTTATGTGACATCTCAGTCTGATTACTGTGTACACATTTACCACATCCTGAAAATGAACTCATGCTGATAACATCGATCTGACCTCCCAAAGATTTGACCAGTTAGGAATATCTGGATTAATACACAGCTGCTTTGAGAGAGGTGTGTCCATCATCACTGTAGTCTCAGCTTGCCTGTACCCCCTTTCACTCTGTCCAGCCTCACCAACGTGACCCCTCTAAACCACAGACTAAAAATAGACCAGTACATGGAGTAACAGAGTCACCATAATGCTAGAACACAATACAATGTGATCTTTGAACAGACACGTACATTTGCTACCATACCTGAACACAACCTTATCATAAATACACTACATCTATGCTGAACTGGACCACAGGACCCCAGCAAACTCTGACGCTAGTGTCAGATACTTCAGGCTGTGTCCTGAAGACATGTGGACTTATTCACAACAGACCCTAAAGATGGACATGCTTGTTTATCCGTGTGAACTGAAGTCAATAATCTTAAACCTGGTCAGCTCAGTGTGGAGGTGTTTACTCAGTATTGCTCTCTTTGGTTTGTTTTAGTTCTGTCAGATTCTCCGCTGTGGTATAAAGTCAGCCTCATATGTGCTTAGAAAATTGGTCTAAGTGTCTGAAGCTATTAATAACTCTGGACTGAAGTTATTATCAGTGCTGGGAAGCTGCCTCTGTCATGGCCTGCTAAAGCCTGCAGCTGTGTATGATGTGGAGTTGGACAAAAAGCAGCAGGCTGTCACTGTAATATGTAGCCTCCACCATAAAACTCAGAGTCAACGCTAACATTTGATCAAACCTGTGATGTGATAAAGAAATGCATCAGTGTATGGAACCATCAAAAGGAGGCCTGATGTTCCTGCTGACCTCTTATTGTTCCTGCCAGACAGAATGAACTCAGTCTCAGCATTTTGGCTGGATGTGCATGTACAAACAGAATCAGGTCCACTAAAGAAACTGCATTTCCTTCAGAGTTGCAGGGCGGACCGCTGTTGTGTAGACTACTTTGACCTTTATCATTGAACGAGCTTTTCCCTAGACCTGTTTCTGGAGTGGAGTACTTTAGTGTGTGTCTTCAATTGCTGTTTGTAGTGTGAGAAGTCCTACATACCACAGGATTAATGAGGAATAAAGTTCGTAATGCAAACTAAGCCATAGCTCTGGGTGTGTGTTTTCTTCATTCAAACAAGTCACGGCTTCAGGGAGACGAGGATCCAGACCTGCTCAGCATGCAAGTCCCCCTTCTGGGTGGGTAAGCAAGACACCGACCCAAAAGGTCATTTTCAAAGCTATTAAGTCATCAGACTGAAGATAGAAAACCAATACAAAAGCATCATCAATACTGCAATAAAAATCCTGGACAGCCCTTCTATTTCAGGTTTATGATTATATGATATCATGGTATCATGGTATGGTTTCAGGTTTTAGGTTTACTGCCACTTCAAAGGGAACAGTCTAAGAGGTCCCATGTTTTCAGGGGCCAGCAGCAGAAAGAACTCCGGTCTCTTAAAAGCTCTTGGTCTCATCAGTATCAGTTTATACATGCTGTGATGGACAGCCTGCAGAATAGTTACAACTCTGGCTGTGAGTCATGTTTGTAACAGCGTTACTACTAAGAAACAGTAAGTAACCCTGAGCTCTTCTTGGGTTCTGTGCCATAGGAACCGCAGAGCTGACTGGACTTGTGTCTTTGAAAACCACACTTAATGAGTTCATGCTGATCCTGATCATCAGGGTCGAGGGTGTAAGGATCTTCTTCAGGTTTGTCCACATCACCTCATCCTCACTAAGAACAGTGTCATGTCATGTCTGCTTCAGGCAAACACGTGCTTCTTGTCCCTCCGGTGAGATGTTCAGGTCTGTTTGTGACTGTTTCATGATGAGGATTGATTCTTGAAGAATCTGTGTGTAGTGCTTCAAATGATTGAAATTATTATGATCAGATGTTACTTCCATGTTCAGCACAGTCACATGAGCTGGGGTCTTGATGCTTTTACCTGCTTTTACTGTTGCCAATGGCAGAAACTGTAATGCCATTATGGCGCCCTCTCTTGGTGGAATTTATAACTTGATAAAGTTTTGCTTAAAAAAAATGAACATCTACTTGTGCACACAGGTTTCTCCATTATATTTTTATTTTTAAAAAAGTTGACAATATCAAATGACATAAAAACTGACTGGGAGGGGGGGCAGGGACTGCTTGTATTATGTGTTGTGCATCTCAAATCACTAAATCAACTTCGGCTTCAGTCAATTTGGAAGCTAATCAGACACAGCTACACCATGAACACATAAGAAAATTACTCATACTGTTTGTTTTTAAAAGTATTGGGGAAAAAAAAAGATAAATCATTCTGGCTCATACACCAACAGCTTTTAACTGAGTCCAAGTCCAAGGTTTTATTAGCTCTGAGAGTCCATCCTGACCCGTTCAGCTGAATTTAAACACCAGTTTCAGCTTCCCATATGGAGAAAACTCCTTCACTGTCTCTATGATAACTGTCGCTCTCTGAAGTGCATGTGTGATACTGTCGGGAAAACATGATTGTGTCCCATCCTGTTTCAGAGGACACTGCCATTTCTTTTTTTTTGATTTTCAAATGTTGAATTAAGTACAAAGAAAAAAACATCAACAATATTACAAATGGAAAAGATGTAAAGACAAAAATCTTTGTGCATCAATGTTAAGTACATCACCGCTAATATACATGAACTGCTGTACATACTACAGCATGTTTCAGAGTCCAGCACTAAGAAAAACCAGGAACCTGTCAGAACATTTGATGTATGTGGACTCAAACTCCAAATAGCAGGACAGATCCGGCTGTGTGAAAATAGACTTCGATACTTTATCTGCAAAGGCTTTGGTGCGCAGCAGTCTTGTCAGGCTGATTGAGGACTCTCGGGATGAGAGCCCTCTGAGACTGTCCCAGTAGAGGCAGAGAGTTCCTGTCTTTCCAGTAAAGTTCTGCGGAGATCACGTGATTCTGGAGACTGCTGTAGATGGACTGAAGGCCATTCAGGAAAGCGCAGCTACTCTTGTTGTCATGGGTCAAATTTCGACGTCACTCTCTTTGTCGTTGTCATGGTCACCATCATAGAACTCATTAGCTGCCTCTGGCCTGAGGAAAGACAACAGTACAGAAAGTAAGGGACAGGACTGGGTCAGAGATCAGATGTTTCAGAATGTCCATTTTAAGCTCCCGCCTGGTGTCCAAGTGTGTCTGACCTGCTGTAGTTTTCCTCTGCTCCCCTCTCATCTGGGTCCGGCTCATCATTGCGTTCATAGCTCAGCATGTCAGAAGGAACATCATGGATCTGGACACTGGGCGCATGGTTCAACATCTTCAGGTTCTCAAACACAGTCTGGCGGATCTGCTCCAGGTACTGCATCAATGTAAACAAAGCTTCAACAACTGCACACAAAACGTTGGCTTTTCTGATTTCATCTGTGTGTCCGTAAGAGAAACTGTAACCCCTGGAAAACAGGACTGAGACTGAAAGCACTGTTCTACTCTAAACTTTTTCCAGGGTCTGTAGGACTAAAGATACAATACTGTCAGTAGTAAGTGAGTCAGTGATTCACCTGTCTGGAGTTCTGGTTTTCTATCCTCGTGCTGACGTCAGGGTGCAGAGTGAAATCTGGAGCAAAGTACTCAAAATACTCTGTAGACGAGAAAAGGGAGGAGGTGGAGGCAGGCGGAGAGAATAAAAAGAAGGTATTACAAGAGTTAGTCATTCATAGACTTATTCAGGCTGATCTTATCATGGCTCCAGCTGTCACATGTTTAGGTGATGGTCTTTATTTGCCAAGGTGCAGCTGTAAAAATTGTTTCATACCCAGGTCTGCGTGTGCTTCTGCTTGATGATGCTAGCATCACAACAGAGGCTTTGTCACCGGTGATAAAAGTCTAGCAGCTTCTGTGAATAAACACCTTTCTGCAAAGCTTCAATATGTTTCCTTTCATATGTTTTTGACTCAAGAATTAATGAGCGCTCACTGGCAGGAACACCTGGGCTACTGTTAAAAGTAAAGGTCAATGTCTGAGAAGATTGGAGAGGCTGAGCACTGTATGCAGAGCAACCCAGCAAACCCAAAGAAAACCAGGACTTCACTTAAGAACCAAGCCACCGACCCGCTCCTAAAACTTTTACACAGGGATCAGGATCAGGGCTTGACACTAACTTTTTTCAACTTAGGAGCACATGTGATCCTAAGTTGAAAAAGAAAAGGAGCACACAAAGAACTTTAGGGGCAGAATGAAAATTGATCAAATAATGCTCGTCTTATTGATCAACACAAGTACTGTTATTTGAAATCAATTTTAGATCAATTGGTCACATGACATTGAAGCTATTGAAGGAAAACAGCTTTTTTTGAGAACCCCAACTGGTAATTTATTGATGGTCCCTCATTCAACACCTGACAGCGAGGACGGCGAGTAGATTTAACGTCGCTGCTTTTGCTTTTATCGGTTATGGAAAGTTAGAAGACACCAGTAGATCCGCAGTGAATGTCAGTCGAATATCCAACCTAAAACTAACTTCACTGCGGTATTTACATGAAAAAACATTTGTTGCCTCAGCTCATTTTTTTTATGCGCACATGTGCCCCTAAATACATTTTACAATTCACACACATCTACTTTCAGTCGCAAATACGAGTGAAACGGTCGCACTGTCGAGCCCTGAGGATGGTTGATCAATCCAGACTGATCAATCCTACACTTGTATTTGATACAGACAAGGCTTTTCAGTTCCTGTTTTTCTTACAAGGGGGCAGAAAACTTTAACTCACCGCTGTAAGGCAGCTCATCACTGATGGATTCATCCAACAACAAAGATGTCTCAAATGTCCTAGAAAGAAAAAAAAAACCACAACATTACTTCAAACACAAAGTAGAGACCCCGTAAGAGAAAACCTCTTCACCATCAGAGGACTACAGCTGATGTCAGTTTATGAGACTTACCAGCAGCGAGCCACATTTCTCACTGTGTACCCTCCTCCTCCAAGGACCAACAACGGTATCTTAAAACTCTTGACAAACTCAACACACTCACTAAAAGAAAGAGAGCAGAGCAGAGCCACAGAAGGTCAGAGGTTTGAAAACACATTATCATTGTGTGTGTGTGTGTGTGTGTTTGTGTCACAGTCTCACCCATGTCCACGTATACTGAGGTTAAAACAGCCAAGTCGGTCACAGCCCAGAGAGTCTGCTCCACACTAAAAGGAGAAAAGACTCATATTCAGACTCACAATAATAATTGATCCAGTTAACTGTGTTTGGCCCTGATCAGGAAAACAAGCACTTTGTTAACCCACTGACCTGCAGAACGATGCATGTCGGCTGATAGAAATCCACTACCTGCTTGATAACTGGCTGAAACAGCTGCCTGTAGCCTGCAAAACACACACAAACACACACAAATGTACGCACAATATAATCAGCGGTACAGCAGATTGGTACCTGTGCTCTGGTCTAAGGGTTCTCCTGAGGGTATCTGCATTGCTGTCACCAGTACATCAATATGTCTGAGCGACTGAATGCTGCAACTTTGGGGGTCGTTGTCTTGCCCACACTTGGACATGTGATTGACAACTGTGATTGACATTCAGCATAATAACAATAATGCAGATCTGTGTGTAACCTCCCATAATAAAGAACTCTTGATACTCACTCTGGTCATCGATTCCGTCTCTGAGAGGAACATTGAGGCAGTAGTATCGTCCACTCTCTGCTCCAACTTCATACATGTCACCTGCAGAAAGCAGTTATGCATGCACTGTTATGAGACATATCCACGGAGAGAGTGTGGTGACACAATACTGACATATTTAACTTTCCTTTGCATACAATCAGAAACATGTTGAGCGTGGTCTGAGGAAATGAGACTGTAGCATCTGTGTAATTTTGAAATTCTATCCTAACAGATAAACAAATATCTGGGAAAACTGAAAGCCTTCTGCAGCTTCTGCTGTTCATTTGCACAGCTGTACTTGCTGTATTACAAGAGTTAATTATGTAAGAAATAAATCTGTCTGTTGGTATCGACTACACTCAATGTTGCCAAAACTTTAACTATGCAGAATGAAAGAAATGAAACCAAGCAGGATGTATCCCAGCAGAGTGTAGAAACAGTCTCCTCTTTTAGTTTTGATATGTACTCTTCTTCTATCTATCTACTTATTCATGTACTTTTATTGATGTTTGCACTTAATCATTTACGCCTGATAGGACTGTTTTCAATTTCACTGTACATGAACAATGATACAGATATTCTGTTGTACTGCTTTAAGTCCAAAAAGACTTCACTGGCTTTCGCAATAGTGCTCGCAAAATCTGTCCAGAAACATTGAGGATAAAGAAATCCTCTCTTTTATCAAATCAGTATTTGAGATGCAGAACACCTGTTCCTGGGAAAAAGTAGTTTCCATATTTGTGGAAGGACACCGTCATGACCCGGTCAGTCAGGTAGAAGGCTTCCTGGACGCCATCACCATGGTGAATGTCGATATCGATGTAGAGAACTCTAGGGTGGTATCTGTAACATGTTCAAGTGTGAGAAGAGAAGCAGACGCAGCAAACATTTTCTGAAGGCTTTAATATTACAGTGAACTCACTTCAGGAGCTCCAGTATACTGATGACGATATCGTTGACGTAACAGAACCCGGATGCCTAAAAACACAATAAAGAGCTTTAGTTTTTGACAGCTTGTTCATTACTGAACAGAAGAACATTAACTCAGAGGGTTTCGCCCTGACCTCAAATTTTTTGGCATGATGCAAACCACCGGCCCAGTTGATAGCAATGTCACAGATCTGGAAAAGAAAGCAGATTGACTTGAATTAAGTCCCAAAATCACTATGTAGTGTTGACTAGTTTACCCATAGTGCTAAACCCACTGCAGTATTGTTTTACTTGAAGAAAACAGAAAACACAGATAGTAATGTTTGTTTGGAGTTAGCACACATATCCATCTTAAAACAGAGCAGGACAGACATTAAACAGGGTTGTTATAAAAGGAAGAAATTAACAGCTATAATGTCTGGACTTTTATCAGGAACTGTTGATTCACAGAGTTGAGCTGATCACCTGAATTGTGTTTGCTGTTCATTGGAAGTGTATGTGTCTTACCTTGTGGTTGAGCTGTGTAGCTCCCTGTAAGGAGGCCCCTGTGTATCTTGAGCAAAACTCGAAAAGTCCTGGAAACACAGGACTGAGACAGAAACAGAATACTTAGTAATGGGTCAGCTAGTCGTGCAAAGACTGCAAAATTTAAATGCTGAATAAAGAGAGGATCGTGGAACACTTACTAATATGCATAAAAAACTTTAACACTCACCAGTCATCTCCAACATTGAAGGTGTTGAGGCTCTTGGTGAAGCCCTGCATATTATTGGGGCTAACCTTTTGAAGGAAGTCTATGTAGTCTTCAGAGTGGAACCGACACATATCATGCTGAGATGCTTTGTATGGCTTGAACACCTTACAGGAGACAAACAAAATAACATTTGATAAAGTAAAACACTGGCACAGATATTATTGGCTTTAAATAGTGTCCTTGAATTTGCAGGGTCCAAATCAGTAATAACCCCTGTCTTTACTGCGTACCATCATTTTCTTGTAGAGTCCATAGTGCAGCACCAGACTGTGTGTCAGGGACAAACGGTGAGGCTTCATTGGGTGACCAGCACCTGACAAAGACAGACAGTTTTTAACTGATATTACAGTCATTATAGGGACATTCCAGTTTAAAAACACACCGTTACATCGAATTGGATACCCCCCAGAGATGAATTTTGCCTGCGTGCTTCTCTGGTTATACCAACTTTGGTAACAACTGCAGGATAGCAATGACAGCGGTCTACGTCTCCACGCACAAACCTCAACCACAGTGCCACTCTATAGCCACAAATAATGCTCAGAACATCACCTAACTTCATCAACAGTACATATAGGGTCCCAGCCATAGTACTAGCCATCAAACATCTTTTTAGTTTTGCCTGATTTCTTTAGCAAAGAGACTAAACACAACCCAGCCACTCTCTTCCAGTAGCTGCTAGTTTGTAGCAAGACCTCGGGCTAGTCTATTATGGACTGCTACGAGGTGACACAGCTCAAGGAAGAACATTTATGATCATTACTTTATCATTTCCTTGAAGTAATAATCATCATATTAATCATTTTGCACTGCAGATGCAGTAGTTCCTCTGACTTAGCGTCTCAGTCTGATTGCATTTTCATTAAGAAGCAGTCCTGGACAGGCCTGAGGTCTCACTACAATCAAGTGGCTGCTGGAAGAGAGTGGATGAGTTGTGTTTAGTCTCTTTGCTAGAGAAACCAGGCAAAGCTAAAAAAAAATGTTTGATAGTTAATACTATGGCTGGGACCCTATATGTACTGTTGATGAAGTTAGGTGCTGTTCTGAGCATTATTTGTGGCTGTAGAGTGGCACTGTGGTTGAGGTTTGTTTATGGCTCCTCAGATCTCTGTGTATTGCTATCATGCGGTCGTTACTAAAGTTGGTAAAACTAGAGAAGCAATCGGTCGGCAACTTTCATCTCTGGAGGGGTTGTCTAACTCGGTGTTACGGTGTGTTTGACCCTAAATTAATTTTGCGCCGGAATATCTCTTGAAGTCCAGTACAATGTCTGTTTCAGAGCTGCTGAAATAAGTGATGTGAAAGTGACAGTGGTCTAACAAATCTTAATGCGGCTTCAGAACTACAGGCTCAGTTATACTGATACGTGTATTACACCTGCAGAAATAATGTTATTACAGTGATGAAATAGGTTGAATGTTTTCATTAAGTGCGCAGAAAATACATTATAATACAAGTATAATCTGAATATCACTGATAAAACTGATCTTCATCTTGAAATACTAACAATCACGGTGTCTGTCTACATACAAGAGCCTTTGTTATGCAGCTTAGGTTTGCCTGTAACTATCTTAATGAAGCAAACTTTGATTTGTAAAGAAAGTCTCCAAAACCGAAGCAGGCAGCTAACAGGCTCATACTGACCGATGGTTTCATTTAATATGTTTATATTCTGGGCTGAGAGACTTTTACAGGGCTCACAAACGGGGGGCCTAATACATTTCCCCAGCTTCACCCGAGAAAGCAACAAAATACACGAATAGGAAGATAAAGTGAGGCACATCTGAGGTTATGAGCTCACGGCTAGCTTCCGTCGCACCATTTTCTTTGTACGCCTGTGGAGGCGGCAGCCAAACTCACCATAATGGAAATTACCGACGTCTGGGTCGTAAAAGTATGAGGTCCTGTTTGTCATTTTGAACAATGCTGTCTTTTTACTGTTTTCTCAAAAATATTCTCGCAGTTTTAAAAGCCAATCATTTGATTGCAATTAACGGATAGCCGCCATGGCTAGCAGCACCTCGGCTACGTCATCAAAAGTAGACCGTAACGGCACAGAAAGGAGGGGGAGGGGGGGGGCGTTACTGTGAGCTCCAACCCGATTCTACTCTGCGCGTGCCCTCCTCAAACCAGGAAAATAAAATAAAAAGGTTCAATATATGTACTTATTCTTGTATTATTCTGAAAAGTCCGATTCTTGACATTAACGTCCGAATTCTGCAAAAAACAAACAAACATAAAAAGTCAGATTTCTAAGATTAAAGCCAAAATTCTAACTTTGTCTTTATAGAGATTTACAAAGGTGTCACTATTTTATATTTTTGATTATATTATCTATAACTTTATTGATCCCTTTGAGAAGGAATTAAAAAGAATTTAGAATTTATTCAGGAATTTTGAACACTACTCACCCTTATAGATTACTCTGCTTTTGGGAAAGAAATCCCAGAGGTATTTATCACATTTCAAGGTCTGTAATCGCACAGTAACTGAGATTGTAAGAGCTTATTATATTTTTCATAGAGGATTTTGATATTCAGAATAAAGCATGCTGGTATATAAGAAATGCCTAGGGTGGTGTTACACTTCCTGCAGGTAAACTATTTCGGTCTGGTATGGTCACCAATGGGAAAGCTTTTTTTTCTGTTCCAAAGAAAAGAACATATAAATAGAAAATTTGGAATCAATGTACAAAGTAACGTATCATTTTAAATTTGTGATTTGTGAAAACATCAGTCTGGTTCTGCTCAAGGTTTCTGTCTGTTAAAGGAAGTTCCTCATCTCCACTGTAATTCTCTAAAAGCGTTTCACTCATGTGGATAAAGCTGGGATGCATAACTTTTTCCTTTTTGGCAGATTGAGAAAGACCCTGTTGTGGTTGTTTTTTATATCGTCACCCTATTAAAAAAATGGCCTAAGTCATTTTTTGACGAAAATGAGTTTTTGGCCTAAATCATCTCTTAATAATGCTAGCCATCTCTGGTTAAATAGCCTAAATCCTTAGTTGAAAGGATCGTGCCGCAACATAACAGCTGCTATAAAGTTTAACCCACTGTTGTATTAAATCATCTGGTGTATTTTACCTATATATATTACACAACAGCCTAAGCATGTATTGCATGTCATTGTAAGCATGACAAGTTATTTTAAATGTCTAAACTTTTCCCAACTTGCTGAAAAAAGGGAGAAAGGCTATTATGTTCAGACTTTACTTCTCATAGAATAACATTTTATGTTTGAGCTTGGCTTCCCAAAAATCCTTTAGGGTCAAGTCTAATCTGATATTGGTTTTACACTCCATCCTGAACTTGGCCGTCTGAGGTATCCAGGTTTGAAAAACACAAACTCAGCCACACTGAGCACACTGCTGACTGGGATGGGTAAGCTGTGAGGTTGGAATTTCTGTCTAGTATGAAGGGTGGCAGGCCGCTGGGGAGGAACTTTGTCAGACATAGCAATCATATTTTGAGTATTAGCCAGGTGTGCTGGGAACAGTGAGAGGTAGAGTGTGGCAGGTGTAGGAGGCAACTAGCGTGAAGCAGTCCACTGTTGGACACTCAGATGCAGGTTAATAACAACAAGATGACACTGATACTTGACCCCACTTGTACCCGATTGCTGTGCTCAGAGGTGTGTAAATGGGATTAGTCAAAAACTGATGGACTCTGTACAAATTAGCCTCTGCCATCAGTGAGTGAATGCATGAATGAGACATAAAGAGCTTTGAGTGGACAGAAGAAACTAGAGAAGGAGAGAAACAGTCCACTTACCATTTACAAGTACTGGATCAGTGCAGCGATGCAGGGACAGACAAGGATCAAATGTGGATCGTGTTCAGCCTTTGGGGTGCTTTCACAGAAATGTTATATCATACCAGTGATCTCTACAGCATCTAGTAATTTCAGGTCGAAAAACATGTTTCTACAAGACAAGTCATAAAAAGTCCATATATGAATTTAAAACAGCACTAAAGAGTTACCTGAGTGGAACTGTGTTTGAACACCTGTTCATTAAAAATTGTCTGGACAAGAAACTGATGGAGATCTTCCAGATGATGAAATGAGAGAAACCAGACTGTACAAAAGGTAGCTGCAGGCTCACTGACTGAATCTGATAACACTGGATTCAAAACTTACTGTGAATGTGTGTAAACACCTAAAACTGGGTTTGTATGAGCAGGACAGATACCAGACACTAGATCTTTACAGAGCAAGAGTGTGATGGCTTTGTCAGCTGTTTGTGTTGACATGTTTGGATGTACATGTGAGCTTCCTCTCTTCCTCTCCTCTTCTTCTTGTTTTCTCTATATCCTGCCTGACAGCTGATTTTCAGTTGCAGCTTTTGTGGAGATGAACATCTCTACTCTGAGCCACAGTCATTCAATGAAATCCCCCTTTTTTTAAGAGACAGATGGGTCTCAAGCTTCACAGTTTCTACCAAGAATATGCCATAGTCAAGCCTTTACCAGCTCCCCCTCCTCTATATCTATTATTTTTACCTTTGATTTAAACCTTTAATAAAAAAATATTGCAGAAAATTCAAAGGGGATGATTGGGAAAGAATTCTCTTGGCCTTATCAAAACAAGTGCTGGTTTTTACTAATCCAGGAGACCGTCAGAGACTCTCTCTGCTTTCTGAAATGTAATAGTTAAAAATGTTAATGAACATTATAAGATCCTGAAGACGTTCACTACTGCAGCTATTAGACCAGTCTGTGCATTTGTGTGTGTGTGTGTGTGTGTGTGTGTGTGTGTGTGTGTGTGTGTGTGTGCGTGCGTGCGTGCGTGCCTGCCTCATCCTTACCCTAGCTGGCTTGTTTTGGCCTTAGGGGCTGAGCATCTGTCTCTGCCTGTTTGTTGAAACACACTCACTCCCTTTCACATACACATACACTTACCAGAATACACACACAAACACAGCCATGTGTCCTCATCAACTCATTCCTGTGTGTCATTGCCATGGAAATATATACACTATACACAGCAGGGCATTATCAGTTAATAACACACATTTAAAATGACTTAAAATGACACACACACACACACACACACACACACACACACACACACACACACACACACACACACACACACACACACACACACACATACACACACTATTTTAAGCACTTTCGATAAGACATGTCCTTCTAACCACAAAGGTCTATGTTTTTAATATCATAATATGTTTGTATTCCGTTCATACTTTTCAAGCTGCTTAGATATTAAATTCAAGGCCAGCCATGCAATTTAGCTTGCAACCATAAATACAACAGTGGATTGTGGCTCAAAGCCCAACCACAGCACATGGATAAATATTTAGTCCCGGTTTACTGGTTTGACATGTGTCTGCTCTGTCAGCATATCTCAGTTTGATGTTAAAATACAGTAGAGTGTAAAACAAAGCCTTACATTGGTTGCTAAAGTAACTTGTACATCAAACTAGTCTGAGGCATTCTTACACTGTTCAAAACAATGATAAATGAATGACCTGTTTCAGAGCCAAGCAAAAATTCAGCTTAGCTTTTGTGCTAATTATGAAATGCTATCCTACAAGTGTGCAGATCTCATGATGTTTCTTATATTATCGCCTCCAAAGCTCTGAGCTCACAGCAACTGCGTTCATGTTCAGCTCCACAGAGCCAAAACAGAAGTTCAGAAAACTATTATTTGCTCTCATTTGTGGATTTGGAAAATAAAGGAAATAAAAAATAAAGAGTTTTTGGTTGATAGAGGTGACAAGAGCTTTGCAGGTTTAATCAGAATATAGAGATCAAAGCTCCTGGAAGTTATACTTAGAGGTATCAGGACAGACTGGATGGAGGGTTAGAGTCAGGGTAATGCAATAGTTTAAGGTAAACGAATTGAAAGAAGGAAGGAAAGAAGGAAGAGTGGGGGTGAGGTAAAAGTGAGACCGTGATATTAGCAGGTGCTGAGCCAGTATATATAACACTTCCAGCCATCCTGACTGCAGATCTCTCTGTAGAGAGACACTCAAATGTAATGACTGTACTGCAGTCACACAGATTGCATATTGATTGGTGAACTGTGGAGTCCTGCCAATAATTTAACACAAACACACTGAACCAAAATGCCTTTTGTTATCAGGGTTGTTTCTAAAATAATGTGTATTGTATTTGTCTCTCTGTGATGTATATATTCCATGTTTACATTATTAGACTATATGTATCACTACATCAGCTAAAAGCTACAATTTGAGTATTAAATCTAAGCTTAATCTAAAGCTGTAGGACCAGTTAGGAGTGAAATGTCTGCTGTGATTCTTCTGGATGGGGAATTTGCATGTGTCATCAAAAACCTGATTTCAGACAACTGAAGAAAGATAGGAGTGCATACACTGCAAAGATCAGTACTGTGAACAAAAAAATATAAAAGTCGTGTGAATTTTAAAGGTGATATTGTTGGTCGTTGGTATGAAGACAAACTGCCAATACTTTAAAAAATACCATGAGTGTGAGTAACATCAAGCTTCATGAAAGAGGGGAAACTTGTTGTGGCAGGCAGACTGAATTCTGATGAAAGTTGTCTGTCATTATAGAGTGGAGATTTCTGCCAGGGAATTAAAATACTAGAAGGCCAGGATAGATTGCTGTACACCGTCAAAGTCTGCTGACACCTACCTACTTTTTTACCTACTGTATCTATCTATATGCAGGGGCACTCATTTTTAGCCCAGTGTTTAAAAGCACAGCTCACATTAATGTCGTTTTAAACCCACTTAAAGCATTTAAGTAACATATGTATTTTAATAACCACTAAGTCATTTTAAGGAAAAGTAAGGTGAGGCTCATGAGATTAAGTGTCATTAATGAAAGATTTGGTTTTAACTGTTAGTTTAGCTAAAAGTGCACCCCCTTATGTTGTTGTTTTTGAACAAAGGTTAAAAAAATAAAGTTGCATTAATTTTTATTGTAATTTAATTTTGCAGTTTTGCGATTGTTTTAAGTCTAGTTTTTACTCATTTTAAAGTTTGCTATTTAGTTGGGATTATTTATTAATATTTTTTCCTTTTTTGAAATTTTATTTTGAAATTTTGATTTTTAAA